TTTGAATAAAATTACTCCTTAATGGTTTAAAATTTATTTTAAAATTTATTACTTTGTCAAAAATCAAGTTTTAAAAACGGTTAACTTGATGACGTTATCAATTGGGGTGTTCATGACGTCAAATAATTTGTTTATACAATGTAAACTAAAGTGTAAACAATTATTTTCAAGACCTGTGGTCGGAAATGGCTGTATCTTTTATACTTTTGAATCTATGGACAATTAAATACAGGCTACAATTGACTGGCAAAGCGTCTATCCCTGAATATATATATATATAGATAGATTTTACCAAAACCCATATTCATGGGTAGAGTGGACCGCTGCCAGTGTCTCTCTTTCCCAAACAAAAGGAAATGATATTAATTTGATTGACCGTTCTCAAATGCAAAATGATACCGAGAATGAAATCGGTCGCTCGCTTTTTCCATTCATTCACGGCTTACGAATTGTAATAAATTTCGATTGATTACATCAGTCAGATGCTGTAAAAATCTCTTTGGGTTGCGTTCGGATCGATACCTAGTATTTCGGGGTAAGGGTAGTAGTTATTGCTTATTGAATTAGCTGAAGTTTATTGAATCTTTATTGCCGAGTACAGCTGCCTTTGGGTAGATCTTCTTAATCTATTACAATTGTAAATGAATGGGAAAAGCGAGCGACCGATTTCATTCTCGGTATCATTCTGCATTTGAGAACGGTCAATCAAATTAATATCATTTCCTTTTGTTTGGGAAAGAGAGACACTGGCAGCGGTCCACTCTACCCATGAATATGGGTTTTGGTAAAATATCATCTCTTTTTGATTATAATGTCAGGGTACTTTATTTATAAAGTCGAAATATAAACTGATATCTTCATTAATAAGGAGGAAGTTTCAACAATTTCGAAATTTTTCCTTTAAAAACATTTCCTTGTGTTTAGGTAAGCATATCGGTCGATCACTGACTGAATATGCCACTTGATACTCATTCAAGTTGGCATTAAATTCATTTATAAAGACATTAAACTGTCGTGGCAAAGCAGAATTTGTTGGAAATCACGAATGAGCAAAATTCTCACCTTTCGCACGTGCAAACTTTGAGCGGACGTTGCGTGCGCATCCAATATTGAATCGCCGTAACTTTTTGCATGTAATTGTTTTATATATAGCTTGATAAGCATGCAAAGTTTCAAAGTATTTCAAGAAGAACTGTAATCACAACGGCACTCTAAAGTTGACAGAAAATGACGAAAACAGCAATTTTTAGTGATTTTAGCAATTTTCTATCAATTTGGGCGTGTCCCCACGTGTGCAACTTTTTGATTTTTAACTTTAAAACTAGCCTAATGCACAATTTCTACCTATAGGAAGCAGAACTGAGCTCCACAACCCAAGGCATGGCCCAACACCAGAGAATACTAAATCGCAAAATTGACGTTTTTATAAAATAATTCTTCAAAAAAGCACAAACTTCAATGACGAATATCTTTATGAAGGAGCAAGCTAGAAAAATTTTCCGGTAGATTTTCAGAATTTATTTTTAATTGTAGTTGACGAAATGAGAGTCTCCACTCAGTGTGTTAAAACATAATTCTTTGTCGACGTTTCGGCTACATGCCTTTGTCATAAACAGGACGTACTGAAAACTTACATAGCTGCAAAGATACAATGTTAAAATAATCTATTAATACTACGAAATATAACAACAACAAATAACATCTTGAAACCCATAAACGATCACAAAATTTTTTTCCAAAAGAAACATAAAATATAACGGCTAAAAGAATCCACACCGCAACAAGCCGTGAACAATTCCTCATAGTACTACAAACATTTTACCAAGATCACAGTGCTGGCAAGCACGAGCGGTGTCTTTATTGGGGGTATACTATGTACCCCCTTTACTATTGTACCCCCTTTACTATTATACCCCCTTTGGTACTCGTCGGAAGCCGCTTTCGTGCACGCGAAGCGTGCACTCCGGCCGGAGGCGGCGGCCGAAGGCCGCCGCCTCCGGCAGGAGTTTTTCAGGCATTAAGACTCATCGGAAGTCGTTCAGCAGATTTATTTTTTAGTTCAAAACATTCTAATTTGATGTCAAAGATGAAAGGAATAAAAATAGTTATGTTGAGATTTTTAAGAAATTTGCATAAAATACTCGCCAGCACTGTTATACGAAATTCGGTAAAAAACCCAAAATCGCCATATTCAGGTGCCTTAAAAAACCATGTTAAAATTGAGTTAGAGATCTGAAATTTTTCAGGGCGTCTAGACGTTGACCAAATCGACTGCAAAAAAAGTTTCAGGTTTCAGGAGCATCGGGAAGTGGGTTTTCTAGAACCCCTGTTTTACGATAGATTGTCGTGATACATATATACATATATATATATATTCAGGGATAGACGCTTTGCCAGTCAATTGTAGCCTGTATTTAATTGTCCATAGATTCAAAAGTATAAAAGATACAGCCATTTCCGACCACAGGTCTTGCAAATAATTGTTTATACTTTAGTTTACATTGTATAAAAAAATTATATGACGTCATAAACACCCCTTGATGACGTCATCAAGTTAACCGTTTTTAAAACTTGATTTTTGACAAAGTAATAACTTTTAAAATTAATTTTAAACCATTAAGGAGTAATTTTATTCAAAATCTGAGGAAATTTTCATCTTAGATAATTGTTCAAGCATTCTGAAAATCTACCAGAAAGTTTTTCTAGCTTGCTCCTTCATAAAGATATTCGTCATTGAGTTTGTGCTTTTTTGAAGAATTATTTTATAAAAACGTCAATTTTGCGATTTAGTATTCTCTGGTGTTGGGCCATGCCTTGGGTTTGTGGAACTCAGTTCTGCTTCCTATAGGTATAAATTGTGTCATAGGCTAGTTTTAAAGTTGAAAATCGAAAAGTTGCACACGTTGGGACACGCCCAAATTGATAGAAAATCGCTAAAATCACTGAAAATTGCTGTTTTCGTCATTTTCTGTCAACTTTAGAGTGCCGTTGTGATTGCAGTTCTTCTTAAAATACTTTGAAACTTTGCATGCTTATCAAGCTATATATAAAACAATTACATGCAAAAATTTACGGCGATTCAATATTGGATGCGCACGCAACGTCTGCTCAAAGTTTGCACGTGCGAAAGGTGAGAATTTTGCTCATTCGTGATTTCCAACAAATTCTGCTTTGCCACGACAGTTTAATGTCTTTATAAATGAATTTAATGCCAACTTGAATGAGTATCAAGTGGCATATTCAGTCAGTGATCGACCGATATGCTTACCTAAACACAAGGAAATGTTTTTAAAGGAAAAATTTCGAAATTGTTGAAACTTCCTCCTTATTAATGAAGATATCAGTTTATATTTCGACTTTATAAAGTACCCTGACATTATAATCAAAAAGAGATGATATTTGACCAAAACCCATAATCATGGGTAGAGTGGACCGCTGTCAGTGTCTCTCTTTCCCAAACAAAAGGAAATGATATTACTTTGATTGACCGTTCTCAAATGCAAAATGATACCGAGAATGAAATCGGTCGCTCGCTTTTCCCATTCATTTACAATTGTAATAGATTAAGAAGAACTACCCAAAGGCAGCTGTACTCGGCAATGAAGATTCAATAAACTTCAGCTAATTCAATAAGTAATACTAATAACTACCACCCTTACCCCGAAATACTAGGTATCGACCCGAACGCAACCCAGAGAGATTTTTACAGCATCTGATTGATGTAATCAATCGAAACTTATTACAATTCGTAAGCCGTGAATGAATGGGAAAAGCGAGCGACCGATTTCATTCTCGGTATCATTTTGCATTTGAGAACGGTCAATCAAAGTAATATCATTTCCTTTTGTTTGGGAAAGAGAGACACTGACAGCGGTCCACTCTACCCATGATTATGGGTTTTGGTCAAATAGCTCCTTCATAAAACTGATTAATCTAAAATTATCTAGGTTAATAAGTTCAATATTACATTAACTTCCAAGTATATTTTATCCAATCACCTTCATTTACGGACTCAGACAATTGAGTATTTATTTCTGGGTTTTCACGTTTTATTAGAACCGACTGCCACAATTGACGGTCCACATAGTCTTTACATCTTTTTCGAACTATAAACCGAAACGGTATGTTTGGCATTGAAATGTCTGCATGATCCTCTAGGTAGTGCTTCCCCATGGCCGTAGATTTGTTGCCATCCCTTACTAATCTACGGCCATGGGGAAGCACTACCTAGAGGATCATGCAGACATTTCAATGCCAAACATACCGTTTCGGTTTATAGTTCGAAAAAGATGTAAAGACTATGTGGACCGTCAATTGTGGCAGTCGGTTCTAATAAAACGTGAAAACCCAGAAATAAATACTCAATTGTCTGAGTCCGTAAATGAAGGTGAATGGATAAAATATACTTGGAAGTTAATGTAATATTGAACTTATTAACCTAGATAATTTTAGATTAATCAGTTTTATGAAGGAGCTATCTTGGTAAAATGTTTGTAGTACTATGAGGAATTGTTCACGGCTTGTTGCGGTGTGGATTCTTTTAGCCGTTATATTTTATGTTTCTTTTGGAAAAAAAATTTTGTGATCGTTTATGGGTTTCAAGATGTTATTTGTTGTTGTTATATTTCGTAGTATTAATAGATTATTTTAACATTGTATCTTTACAGCTATGTAAGTTTTCAGTACGTCCTGTTTATGACAAAGGCATGTAGCCGAAACGTCGACAAAGAATTATGTTTTAACACACTGAGTGGAGACTCTCATTTCGTCAACTACAATTAAAAATAAATGATTGACCCACTCATAAGAGCAAAACAAGATAACCAGATTTTCAGAATGCTTGAACAATTATCTAAGGTTAAAATTTCCTCAGATTTTGAATAAAATTACTCCTTAATGGTTTAAAATTTATTTTAAAATTTATTACTTTGTCAAAAATCAAGTTTTAAAAACGGTTAACTTGATGACGTTATCAATTGGGGTGTTCATGACGTCAAATAATTTGTTTATACAATGTAAACTAAAGTGTAAACAATTATTTTCAAGACCTGTGGTCGGAAATGGCTGTATCTTTTATACTTTTGAATCTATGGACAATTAAATACAGGCTACAATTGACTGGCAAAGCGTCTATCCCTGAATATATATATATATAGATAGATTTTACCAAAACCCATATTCATGGGTAGAGTGGACCGCTGCCAGTGTCTCTCTTTCCCAAACAAAAGGAAATGATATTAATTTGATTGACCGTTCTCAAATGCAAAATGATACCGAGAATGAAATCGGTCGCTCGCTTTTTCCATTCATTCACGGCTTACGAATTGTAATAAATTTCGATTGATTACATCAGTCAGATGCTGTAAAAATCTCTTTGGGTTGCGTTCGGATCGATACCTAGTATTTCGGGGTAAGGGTAGTAGTTATTGCTTATTGAATTAGCTGAAGTTTATTGAATCTTTATTGCCGAGTACAGCTGCCTTTGGGTAGATCTTCTTAATCTATTACAATTGTAAATGAATGGGAAAAGCGAGCGACCGATTTCATTCTCGGTATCATTTTGCATTTGAGAACGGTCAATCAAATTAATATCATTTCCTTTTGTTTGGGAAAGAGAGACACTGGCAGCGGTCCACTCTACCCATGAATATGGGTTTTGGTAAAATATCATCTCTTTTTGATTATAATGTCAGGGTACTTTATAAAGTCGAAATATAAACTGATATCTTCATTAATTAATAAGGAGGAAGTTTCAACGATTTCGAAATTTTCCTTTAAAAACATTTCCTTGTGTTTAGGTAAGCATATCGGTCGATCACTGACTGAATATGCCACCTAATACTCATTCAAGTTGGCATTAAATTCATATATAATGACATTAAACTGTCGTGGCAAAGCAGAATTTGTTGGAAATCACGAATGAGCAAAATTCTCACCTTTCGCACGTGCAAACTTTGAGCGGACGTTGCGTGCGCATCCAATATTGAATCGCCGTAAATTTTTGCATGTAATTGTTTTATATATAGTTTGATAAGCATGCAAAGTTTCAAAGTATTTCAAGAAGAACTGTAATCACAACGGCACTCTAAAGTTGACAGAAAATGACGAAAACAGCAATTTTCAGTGATTTTAGCAATTTTCTATCAATTTGGGCGTGTCCCCACGTGTGCAACTTTTCGATTTTCAACTTTAAAACTAGCCTAATGCACAATTTATACCTATAGGAAGCAGAACTGAGCTCCTCAACTCAAGGCATGGCCCAACACCAGAGAATACTAAATCGCAAAATTGACGTTTTTATAAAATAATTCTTCAAAAAAGCACAAACTTCAATGACGAATATCTTTATGAAGGAGCAAGCTAGAAAAACTTTCCGGTAGATTTTCAGAATGCTTGAACAATTATCTAAGATGAAAATCTCCTCAGATTTTGAATAAAATTACTCCTTAATGGTTTAAAATTAATTTTAAAAGTTATTACTTTGTCAAAAATCAAGTTTTATAAACGGTTAACTTGATGACGTCATCAAGGGGTGTTTATGACGTCAAATAATTTTTTTATACAATGTAAACTAAAGTGTAAACAATTATTTGCAAGACCTGTGGTCGGAAATGGCTTTATCTTTTATACTTTTGAATCTATGGACAATTAAATACAGGCTACAATTGACTGGCAAAGCGTCTATCCCTGAATATGTATATATATATATATATCACGACAATCTGTCGTAAAACAGGGGTTCTAGAAAACCCATTTCCCGATACTCCTGAAACCTGAAACTTTTTTTGCAGTCGATTTGATCAACGTCTAGACGCCCTGAAAAATTTCAGATCTCTAACTCAATTTTAACATGGTTTTTAAGGCACCTGAATATGGCGATTTTGGGTTTTTTACCGAATTTCGTATAACAGTGCTGGCGAGTATTTTATGCAAATTTCTTATAAATCTCAACATAACTATTTTTTATTCCTGTCATCTTTGACATCAAATTAGAATGTTTTGAACTAAAAATAATTCTGCTTAACGACTTCCGATGAGTCTTAATGCCTGGAAAACTCCTGCCGGAGGCGGCGGCCTTCGGCCGCCGCCCCCGGCCGGAGTGCACGCTTCGCGTGCACAAAAGAGGCTTGTAACGTGTACCAAAGGGGGTATAATAGTAAAGGGGGTATAATAGTAAAGGGGGTATAATAGTAAATGGGGAACATAGTATACCCACAATAAATGCAACGGTCGTGCTTGCCAGCACTGTGATATCACGACAATCTGTCGTAAAACAGGGGTTCTAGAAAACCCACTTCCCGATGTTCCTGAAACCTGAAACTTTTTTTGCTGTCGATTTGGTCAACGTCTAGACGCCTTGAAAAATTTCAGATCTCTAACTCGATTTTAACATGGTTTTTAAGGCACCTGAATATGGCGATTTTGGGTTTTTTACCGAATTTCGTATAACAGTGCTGGCGAGTATTTTATGCAAATTTCTTAAAAATCTCAACATAACTATTTTTTATTCCTGTCATCTTTGACATCAAATTAGAATGTTTTGAACTAAAAATAAATCTGCTGAACGACTTCCGATGAGTCTTAATGCCTGAAAAACTCCTGCCGGAGGCGGCGGCCTTCGGCCGCCGCCTCCGGCCGGAGTGCACGCTTCGCGTGCACGAAAGAGGCTTGTAACGTGTACCAAAGGGGGTATAATAGTAAAGGGGGTATAATAGTAAAGGGGGTACATAGTATACCCACAATAAATGCACCGGTCGTGCTTGCCAGCACTGTGATATATTCAGGGATAGACGCTTTGCCAGTCAATTGTAGCCTGTATTTAAGTGTCCATAGATTCAAAAGTATAAAAGATACAGCCATTTCCGACCATAGGTTTTAAAGATAATTGTTTACACTTCAGTTTACATTATATTTAGAAATAATTTATTGTCATCATCATCACTTGATGACGTCATCAAATTAAGTGTTTTTAAAACTTGATTTTTGACAGAATAACAACTTTTCAAATCGATTTATAACACCATTAAGGAGTAATTTTATTCAAAATATGAGGACATTTTCCCCTTAGATAATTGTTCAAGCATTCTGAAAATCTATAATGAGGTCTGATCGTCATCTTCGTACAACTACAGCATTCGATGTCTGTGTGAAGGTAAAATGGTGATATCCTCTGGATCAGGCAGAGGTCGAGTGTTATCGGGATCGGATTATTTCTGTAGTAGTGGAACAGCAATACTAAGGTAATGGGACTACTGCGGACCCTCTACCGGCCAAACATTGTTAACAAAGCCGCAGTCAAGGTTCGGTGAACGGTAGTTAAAAGCGCTTAAGGGACATAAGTCAAATTGGTAGAGCAACATCATGTAGTGGACGTCTTAAGAAATGAGGAGTAGGTAGAATGTTAGGTTGCTCCTTTATAAATCGTCTTTTTCTCCGATAATAAGTTGACATCAAGTCTTGAAAATTATTCGAGAAGAATCTCGAATAATTTAGTTGCAGCGTGCCACATGGCTATCTAAACTGCAAACCCAACCCATTGCTGAGCAAGGCCTTTATCTTCTCCGACGAGCGGGATCATCAATAATGAGGTCTGATCGTCATCTTCGTACAGCGTTCGATGTCTGTGTGAAGGTAAAATGGTGATATCCTCTGGATCAGGCAGAGGTCGAGTGTTATCGGGATCGGATTATTTCTGTAGTAGTGGAACAGCAATACTAAGGTAATGGGACTACTGCGGACCCTCTGAAAATCTACCGGGAAAGTTTCCTACCTTGCTCCTTCATAAAGATATTCGCTATTGAAGTTAGTGCTTTTTTGAAGAATTATTTTATAAAAACGTCAATTTTGCGATTTAGTATTCTCTGGTGTTGGGCTCTCCCTTGGGTTGTGAAGCTCAGTTCTGCTTCCTATAAGTATAAATTGTGCATTAGGCTAGTTTTAAAGTTAAAAATCGAAAAGTTGCACACGTGGGGACACGCCCAAGTTGATTAAAAATTGCTAAAATCACTAAAAAATTGCTGTTGTTACCATTTTCTGTAAACTTTGGTGTGCCGTTGTGATTACAGTTCTTCTTGAAATACTTTGAAACTTTGCATGCTTATCAAGCTATATATAAAACACCAACACGCAAAAATTTACGGCGATTCAATATTGGATGCGCATGCAACGTCCGCTTATAGTTTGCACGTGCGAAAGGTGATCATTTTGCTCATTCGTGATTTCGAACAAATTCTGCTTTACCACGACAGTTCAATGTCATTATATATGAATTTAATGCCAACTTGAATGAGTATAAAGTGGCAAATTCAGTCAGTGATCGACCGATATGCTTATCCAAACACAAGGAAATGTTTTCAAAGGAAAAATTTCGAAATCGTTGAAACTTCCTCCTTATTAATGAAGATATCAGTTTATATTTCGTACTTTATAAAGACATTATAATCAAAAAGAGATGATATTTGACCAAAACCCATAATCATGGGTAGAGTGGACCGCTGCCAGTGTCTCTCTTTCCCAAACAAAAAGAAATGATATCAATTTGATTGACCGTTTTCAAATGCAAAATGATACCGAGAATGAAATCGGTCGCTCGCTTTTCCCATTCATTTACAATTGTAATAGATTAAGAAGAACTACCATACCCGAAGACAGCTGTACTCGGTAATAAATATTCAATAAACTTCAGCTAATTCACTAACTACCACCCTTATCCCGAAATACTAGGTATCGACCCGAACGCAACCCAAAGAGATTATTACATTTACAGCATGTGATCGATGTAATTTATCGAAACCTATTACAATTCGTGAGCCGTGAATGAATGGGAAAAGCGAGCGACCGATTTCATTCTCGGTATCATTTTGCATTTGAAAACGGTCAATCAAATTGATATCATTTCTTTTTGTTTGGGAAAGAGAGACACTGGCAGCGGTCCACTCTACCCATGATTATGGGTTTTGGTCAAATTAATTAAACAGAAATTTAAGTTAGACGCCAGTCTGTGATAGTACAGCTGATGCTTTAACAACATTACTCCATTGTCACAACATGACTTTTTCTCTTCGAGTGATATAGCCTTGAAACATGCATTCCAAGGCTGTATCACTCGGTACCTTCATTCCTAAATAAGAATCTGTGACGAATTTCTGTCGACTGTCAGACGATGATATATTATTGTATTAACGTTTAAGCAGTTGACTGATTTTAATAATTTGTGTAACTTGAATATGCTCATGTCTAGCGAACAGATGATCATGAAGACAAAGATAATCCTCTTTACGACGCTATTGTGGTTATCCATCCAAGGTTAATGTACAAAATTGTAATATTTATTTTTACATCACGACCTAAACTTATTAGAATTAACACAGAATACATAATAAGTACACAAATTAAGTTGCATTCTCTAATTAGTGAAACAAGACAATTTATCGTGCTTATTATTTCAGGTGAAATTATAGGAGAGGTAGATGGTGAAATAACACCTGTTTCCGTGTCTATGACTAAAGAAGTTGACTCACGTTATGTGGCAAGTAAAGCTACAGACAGGAATACAGAAACTCAAGCTTATTCACCAGGAAATGACTCCTGGCTTAAAGCTAGGTTAGACAAGCAATATTGTGTAGAGGAGGTACGTCATTGGATTCATCATGCTCTTCAAACACACACATGCTCGAGGGACGCGTGTACCTGCAGTGGTAGTTACTGCTCCGCTTGGCCCGTGTCAGTGTACTCTGAGGATGGAACAGACCCGGACAATGCTCCTTCTGATTGCATGATAGGAGACACTGTTAAATTTGATGGGAGTGTTATAAAGTATACTTGGGTATCTGAACTAGTTATCATTGGGAGAGGTAGGAGTCTATATCATTGGCTTATTATTATGCTACTTTTCTACAGTCTGGTGAAAGTTACACAGGAGCTTTTATTTTTAAAGAATACCATTATGGAACACTATATATTGATTCATTTGTTAATCATTGGCCTACTTTGTATTAAAAATAATCCATGCGAAGTTATTATTACAGTATTAATTATCGTAAAGCCGTTGTAAACTTAGTGACAAATTAAAATAAAGCTTTCGTTCTGTTTAATCTCCCAATTAGAATATTGATTAGAATTTATTTGCAAATCATCATTAAGCAGTTACACAGTATTGTTCACTTTTGATAAGAATTCTGATGATTTCTTTCCAGAAGTGATTGTAGCATCTGATAGTGATTGTAGCACGCCCATCATTGAAAAAGGCACGGTAACACCGGATTCGGAAATAAGTTCTGGCGCCTCATACAACGTGGCCTGCGACAGCGGGTTCGTGATCTCTGGACAAAATACCATCACCTGCACCAACAGCGAGCTTTCTATATCCCCAAAGTGTCTACCAGGTAAGGTTACTTACTAAATCATCATTAAGTACTAAGTAGTTAGTAGTTACACAGTATTGTTTCAAAAGTGAACTTCACTTTTGATAACAATTCTGATGATTTCTTTCCAGCACCTGATTGTAGCACGCCCATCATTGAAAAAGGCACGGTAACACCGGATTCGAAAATAAGTTCTGGCGCCTCATACAACGTGGCCTGCGACAGTGGGTTCGTGATCTCTGGATCGACAACAGTCACCTGTATAAACGGCGAACTTTCCGTATCTCCAACTTGTGTACCAGGTAAATTTTACCATACATATCATGACTTTTAAAGATAGAGTGATAGCTCAGTAAAAGCAAAAGTTGTAATAATAGGATCGGAAGTGTTACTAGGATCCCCTAAAACTCTAATCATAAAACTCTAATTATAACGACTGTTAATTTGATATTGTCATCATAAATTTGATGGGAGTGTTGTAAAGTATACTTGGGTATCTGAACTAGTTATCATTGGGAGAGGTATAGGAGTCTATATCACTGGCTTATTACTATGCTACTTTTCTACAGTCTGGTGAAAGTTATACAGGAGCTTTTATTTTTTAAAGAATACCATTATGGAACACTATATATTGATTCATTTGTTAATCATTGGCCTACTTTGTATTAAACATAATCCATGCGAAGTTATTATTACAGTATTAATTATCGTAAAGCCGTTGTAAACTTAGTGACAAATTAAAATAAAGCTTTCGTTCTTTTCAATCTCCCAATTAGAATATTGATTTGAATTTATAAGAATTCTGATGATTTCTTTCCAGAAGTGATTGTAGCACCTGATAGTGATTGTAGCACGCCCATCATTGAAAAAGGCACGGTAACACCGGATTCGGAAATAAGTTCTGGCGCCTCATACAACGTGGCCTGCGACAGCGGGTTCGTGATCTCTGGACAAAATACCATCACCTGCACCAACAGCGAGCTTTCTAAATCCCCAAAGTGTCTACCAGGTAAGGTTACTTACTAAATCATCATTAAGTACTAAGTAGTTACACAGTATTGTTTCAAAAGTGAACTTCACTTTTGATAACAATTCTGATGATTTCTTTCCAGCACCTGATTGTAGCACGCCCATCATTGAAAAAGGCACGGTAACACCGGATTCGAAAATAAGTTCTGGCGCCTCATACAACGTGGCCTGCGACAGCGGGTTCGTGATCTCTGGATCGACAACAGTCAACTGTATGAACGGCAAGCTTTCCGTATCTCCAACTTGTGTACCAGGTAAATTTTACCATACATATCATGACTTTTAAAGATAGAGTGATTGTTCAGTAAAAGCAAAAGTTGTAAATAGGATCGGAAGTGTTACTAGGATCCCCTAAAACTCTAATCATAAAACTCTATAAATTATAACGACTGTTAATTTGATATTGTCATTATAAATTTGATGGGAGTGTTATAAAAGTATAAAGTATACTTGGGTATCTGAACTAGTTATCATTGAGAGAGGTAGGAGTCTATATCATTGGCTTATTATTATGCTACTTTTCTACAGTCTGGTGAAAGTTACACACGACCTAAGCTTATTAGAATTAACACAGAATACATAATAAGTACACAAATTAAGTTGCATTCTCTAATTGAACTGCGGGTGCTAAGTAGTGAAACACGACAATTTATCGTGCTTATTATTTCAGGTGAAATTATAGGAGAGGTAGATGGTGAAATAACACCTGTTTCCGTATCTATGACTAAAGAGGTTGACTCACGTTATGTGGCAAGTAAAGCTACAGACAGGAAAACAGAAACTCAAGCTTATTCACCAGGAAATGACTCCTGGCTTAAAGCTAGGTTAGACAAGCAATATTGTGTAGAGGAGGTACGTCATTGGATTTATAGTACTCTTCAAACACACACATGCTCGAGGGACGTGTGTACCTGCAGTGGTAGTTACTGCTCCGCTTGGCCCGTGTCAGTGTACTCTGAGGATGGAACAGACCCGGACAATGCTCCTTCTGATTGCATGATAGGAGACACTGTTAAATTTGATGGCAGTGTTGTAAAGTATACTTGGGTATCTGAACTAGTCATCATTGGGAGAGGTAGGAGTCTATATCATTGGCTTATTATTATGCTACTTTTCTACAGCCTGGTAAAAGTTACACAGGAGCTTTTATTTTTAAAGAATACCATTATGGAACACTATATATTGATTCATTTGTTAATCATTGGCCTACTTTGTATTAAAAATAATCCATGCGAAGTTATTATTACAGTATTAATTATCGTAAAGCCGTTGTAAACTTAGTGACAAATTAAAATAAAGCTTTCGTTCTGTTCAATCTCCCAATTAGAATATTGATTAGAATTTATTTGCAAATCATCATTAAGCAGTTACACAGTATTGGTCACTTTTGATAAGAATTCTGATGATTTCTTTCCAGAAGTGATTGTAGCATCTGATAGTGATTGTAGCACGCCCATCATTGAAAAAGGCACGCTAACACCAGATTCGGAAATAAGTTCTGGGGCCTCATACAACGTGGCCTGCGACAGCGGGTTCGTGATCTCTGGACAAAATACCATCACCTGCACCAACAGCGAGCTTTCTATATCCCCAAAGTGTCTACCAGGTAAGGTTACTTACTAAATCATCATTAAGTACTAAGTAGTTAGTAGTTACACAGTATTGTTTACAGTATTGTTTCAAAAGTGAACTTCACTTTTGATAACAATTCTGATGATTTCTTTCCAGCACCTGATTGTAGCACGCCCATCATTGAAAAAGGCACGGTAACACCGGATTCGAAAATAAGTTCTGGCGCCTCATACAACGTGGCCTGCGACAGTGGGTTCGTGATCTCTGGATCGACAACAGTCACCTGTATGAACGGCGAACTTTCCGCATCTCCAACTTGTGTACCAGGTAAATGTTACCATACATATCATGACTTTTAAAGATAGAGTGATTGCTCAGTAAAAGCAAAAATTGTAAATAGGATCGGAAGTGTTACTAGGATCCCCTAAAACTCTTATCATAAAACTCTAATTATAACGACTGTTAATTTGATATTGTCATTATATTTATAAATTTGATGGGAGTGTTGTAAAGTATACTTGGGTATCTGAACTAGTTATCATTGGGAGAGGTAGGAGTCTATATCATTGGCTTATTATTATGCTACTTTTCTACAGTCTGGTGAAAGTTATACAGAAGATTTTATTTTTAAAGAATACCATTACGGAACACTATATATAAATTCATTTGTTAATCATTGGCCTACTTTGTAGATAAAATAATCCATGCGATGTTATTATTACAGTATTAATTATCGTAAAGCCGTTGTAAACTTAGTGACAAATTAAAATAAAGCTTTCGTTCTTTTCAATCTCCCAATTAGAATATTGATTAGAATTTATTTGCAAATCATCATTAAGTAGTTACACAGTATTGTTCACTTTTGATAAGAATTCTGATGATTTCTTTCCAGAAGTGATTGTAGCACCTGATAGTGATTGTAGCACGCCCATCATTGAAAAAGGCACGGTAACACCGGATTCGGAAATAAGTTCTGGCGCCTCATACAACGTGGCCTGCGACAGCGGGTTCGTGATCTCTGGACAAAATACCATCACCTGCACCAACAGCGAGCTTTCTATATCCCCAAAGTGTCTACCAGGTAAGGTTACTTACTAAATCATCATTAAGTACTAAGTAGTTAGTAGTTACACAGTATTGTTTACAGTATTGTTTCAAAAGTGAACTTCACTTTTGATAACAATTCTGATGATTTCTTTCCAGCACCTGATTGTAGCACGCCCATCATTGAAAAAGGCACGGTAACACCGGATTCGAAAATAAGTTCTGGCGCCTCATACAACGTGGCCTGCGACAGCGGGTTTGTGATCTCTGGATCGACAACAGTCACCTGTATAAACGGCGAACTTTCCGTATCTCCAACTTGTGTACCAGGTAAATTTTACCATACATATCATGACTTTTAAAGATAGAGTGATTGCTCAGTAAAAGCAAAAATTGTAAATAGGATTGGAAGTGTTACTAATATCCCCTAAAACTCTAATCATAAAACTCTAATTATAACGACTGTTAATTTGATATTGTCATTAAAAATTAATTTGTACCTTCTGCCTGTTATTATTTAATATTTAAAATTTTTTGTGTCTAGTGGCCACAGTGACATGCCACGAGAAAGAGATAACGTTGACCCTTGAGCCCTTGTCGGTAGGGTTTGCTGGGCCGAACCTACGCGCGTTAAAAAGAATTTGCGCTTTCATTTTAAAACGTTCACTTTGACAAACCATAACCAATAACTCTCCACCAATCAAGTCAAATTTCAATTTTAAAATATCGAAAGAAAGTAGAAAACTTTGCCAACATGAAAGGGGACTCTTGTAAGGGTAAGTAAAAACGCGATCTTCACCCTCAAAATCGACTTTTAAAGCTTCATACATTTTCCGCCGAAATTATAATTCTTATATCGCAAAACATCCCCCTACCTCCCTGCACCTCCCTCCCCCCCTTCTCAACCCCCCTTCCTGCTAGGATTTCTTTTTGCTTCTGCAGCTGAACTATGAACTCTCAGCTCTCTCGCTTGATTCACGATGTCAATCCTTCGCATCTCGCCGATCTGGTTGCGAGAAGAATTATTTGATGCGCAGCGCGACCCAGTAGTGCATCGCGCTACAACTCTCTCGCCTACCCAGAAAACCTTACCGTTTGCTGGGCTCGCTAGAGGTGATAGATTTTCAACAGCACGTTTGTCGTCGCGTGTCAGTGTCACGTCAAGTTTACCTTTCGCACGCTGCATTTAGCCAAGTAGTCATGACAACGACATTGCTTTGCAAAATTTAAAAGCTGTGATCTTTTTTTTAGCCCAAAATCAAACTTTTCGGTTTAATTCAGAATCTAAGTTGTCCTTGTAGCGCGATGCGTTACTGTGCCACGCCGCGCACTCAATGAGGCTTCTCACAGCTAGATCGGCGAAATGCGCTACTGTGCCGCGCCGAGCTGCCATGAATTGACATCGTCAATTAAAGTTGTCCTAAATTTGGCTCCTGGGGAGCTAACCTTAAATTTACGAGACCGAAATTTTGTTGAAAACCAGAAGGTTCTATTTATTTTACTTTTGGAGATATATCTCCAAAAGTAAAATAAATAGAACTTTCCGGTTTTCAACAAAATTTCCGTCTCGTAAATTTAAGGTATACACCAGTCGGTAGGGTTTGCTGGGAGGACCGTCGCTAGCCACCTCATATATCCAAACCCGATTACTCATTCCCGACGATCTTTTTGCCTTTGGCAAGAGCAGGGAAAAAATCATAGTGCTCTGCCTCTACAAGTACAGCGGGTGAACCAGAAAATTATAAACTTCTAGCTCGACGAACCATATGTACAAAGTTAGCATGTACTTACTGGACGGCGCTCAGGCCTCAGCCTGTCATTCCGCCTGGGGTCCCCAGGTAAGCATGTACGAGTTTCTTTATGATTTTAAAGAGCTGGTCAAATAGGTAGTCACATGACCATGTCGGAACTATTTAATCTGACCCGGAACTCTAGAGTTGTGCAAATCGGCGGATCTGGCTATAGAGAACGGAGTAATGACCGTACACAACGGAGCTACAACGCCCTACGAGCAGGGAGAGAAGGTCAGCTACAAGTGCAATGATAGGTTCAAGTTGGTGGGGAACAGTGAGCTGACTTGTAACAACCGAGCGTGGAGTTATGCCGCCCCTCTTTGCAAACGTAAGATATGTTACAGTTAGCGCGTGAGGAAGTAACGAACTTGTATATCAAACTATCAACTGTATATTGACAACTCTCACCAGTTAGTTCGAATTGATTGATTAATCAGAGGAAAGTTTAAAAGAAGTAAAAAAATGAAAAGTTAAAACAACCCACTCAACCAGCTGTTAACGCAAAGTGCCCGTCATACGAAGTGAACAACGGCAAGGTCATGGACGAATCATCCGGCCCATTCCTTACTACTGAGGTGATAAGACATACTGATAAGGATTGATAATCATGAGATCCTATTCCATTTTAATTGCAGTAATCTAGAAAGTTCTCATCCTAGAAAGGTGAACATCTGTTGCAATTATTCACATGTGAACTTGTTTAAGTCATCAAACTAACACTCCCTCACTAGAGCGTCAGTGCGATATGTGATTACGGCTACAACCTGAACGGAACCAACCCCCGGGTATGTGAGGATGCAGGATGGAAAACAGATGCTCAAAATTGCGTTTACAAAGGTAATTACTAGTGATTTTGTGACGGAAAAATATTATTTGTATGAAAAATAAAGATTTTTTGTTAACCAGTGATAAGAGCGATTCCACTTTATTACAGGGCTCTTCGTGATATCGTAGATCAAATTAGTTCTATAACCGGAATCTAAAATTCTTACTAACAAGAGTTTCCCCGAACAGAGGGAAGATGTCCGCCACTAAAGCACTTGGTGCACGGAGGTCTCTCATGTAATGGAGGTGACATTAAAAATTCGTGCACTGTCTCATGTGACCCAGGATACATTTATCTGAGCGAAATTAAGGTAAACATTAACCACGACTCCTTGTGTTACCGTGCCAATGGCCAAGCTGTTAATTAATACCTCGATCGTAAAAACATAATTATATTAAAAAAACATTAATATATAGAGTATATAATTTTCCTGACTTCTGTTATCCTACAGAAAGTGACCTGTCAAGAAGATCTACGGTGGAGCCACCAGTCCTTTACCAACAGTCAGGGAAACTTTGCCGCATGTGCTAAACAGGAGACCCCCAAGTCCCGTGTCTTAGAAGCAGAACTTTACCTGGACGTGAATTACTGTAAGACAGATCCAGAGAAAGCAGCTGTGGTTGCTGCCTTTGAAACTTACATCCATTCTGGTTCTGCGGCTGTGCCCTGTGTTACTGGTGCTAAATGCACGGTTAGTTTCTCTTTCAGTAACTCCTTAATTAGTTTGAGAAGATCAGTTTCAACATGATAACTCCTGACCCACCTTATCATAATTACATTAAGGGGAGATACACCAAAAACGTTTTTACTCCGAACATCGATTTTATTTTATATTATGGTTAAATAGACAAAAAGAATAAGATTTCACACCTTCAAAATTTTCTAAAAATATTCCCTCATCGAGAAAAAAAATATTTTTCTTTTTCGAACATTTTTTAAATTTTGAGAAGTCTGTCACTGTAATACCGATAGTTCGGCCATTTTAAAAGTTTTTTGGCTGATTTTTTTACTGAACATTACTTGCAATCCGTACAAGAAGCCATTAAAAGGATTATATAATTAAACAATAAATGACGAAGTTACAGACCAAACAAGGTCGAAAAAATAAAAATTGAAATTTTTCCCACTTCTAAAGTTGTACATCTCACCAATCACCCGGGTCAGCAGATATCGCTTCAAAAATTCTTGTGAGTGTAGCTGATGATCATATCAAACTTTTTGGAGTAGGATTTTTTTCAGATTTGAGTTTTAAGCTATGCAATGTGGCCTCAAACGACAAATCTTTTAGTACGACATTTATAATATTTAAAGACACAAAATTTGTAAAAAAATGTGTACAATTTGAACAAAATTTATACAAGGGGGGACCCTTGTGTTCGAGCTAGAAAATTATTTAAGACAATTTGTCTTCTAAAAGCACCTATTTGGTACTAAAAGATTCGTCTTACCAAGCTGATTACGATTCTGTAAAAATTATTTCAAAAAAAACTGATACTTTTTGAGTTATAGGCATTTTAAGCCTTAAATCTGCCTTTTTTGCCCTTTTTTACGATGAATTTTACTAAGTCGTTTGAGGCCACATTGTATAGCTTAAAACTCAAATCTGAGAGAAATCCTACTCAAAAAAGTTTGATATGATCATCAGCTACACTCACAAGAATTTTTGAAGCAATATCTGCTGACCCGGGTGATTGGTGAAATGTACAACTTTAGAAGTGGGAAAAATTACAATTTTTATTTTTTCGACCTTGTTTGGTCTGTAACTTCGTCATTTATTGTTCAATTATATAATCCTTTCAATGGCTTCTTGTACGGATTGTTAGTAATGTTCGAAGTAAAAAAATCAGCCAAAAAACTTCTAAAATGGCCGAACTATCGGTATTACAGTGACAGACTTCTCAACATTTTAAAAATTTTCGAAAAAGAAAAATATTGTTTTTCTCGATGAGGGAATATTTTTAGAAAATTTTGAAGGTGTGCAATCAATCTTATTCTTTTTGTCTATTTAACCATAATATAAAATAAAATCGATGTTCGGAGCAAAAACGTTTTTGGTGTATCTCCCCTTAAGACTGTTCTTCAAAATTTGATTATCACCCACGTACCGTGTAAACGTCATTGTTTATACGATAAAATTAAATCATCTCAACACTTATCAGGTACAAAATACCAGCTGTAAGAATAGTGATGGATCGAGTGTAGTGAGCTTTGAGCTTCTGCAGAATGGAGACCTCTCTTCAGAAAACGCCTCCACTCTTACTTCCTCAGATTCAAGGCTCAAAGAGCTTGTCAGCACCGAAGCCATGACTTTTGAGTGAGAAGGATATTTAAACTTTGAAATGAATGTAGTATTTAAAGTGTGGCATATCAGGGGATTTCATTGAACCGATTGCCATAACTAAAATAGTTTGATAATTTTGGACATAATTATGAATTCAAGACTTTTCTCAGAGTAACAACATCAAAGAAGAGAGCGACTACGAGATTCACAGCTGAGGACGGCAGTTATACCGGGAACGTAAAAACGGCTTGTGAGGCTGGGTTTGCTCAAATCTCGGGTTCATGCAGTGAGTCATTTAATAGTAGAATAGTGTTAAGTGTTATCAACCTACCAGTACCATTTCATCAGTCTTAAACCTCTGTGAAGAGAAGATTTGTTGCGTTATTCATTCATTACATTTGTCTGATCTTGCTGTAAAAGCCTCTTCAATATAAGAATATGAATTGAACGATGATCCATTTAAACCTCCTAATTCGTTTCATTTTCAGTCACGTGTCCGGCGGGATACCACATCCCGGGGGTATATATCTGTAACGCATGTGCGGTGGGAACCTACAGTACGGCTCCCAACTCTGTGGGCTGTGAGAAGTGTACCGGTGGATCCACTACTTATGGTGAAGGTAGCACCAGCAGTGGCGATTGTAAGGAACTCTGTAAGGTTCCTGGGGTGAGTTTATCTGGGGAGAATTGTTTATTCTTCTGAAACTTTTCACTATCGAATACACGCGAAAAGTTCATTGAAATTTTGATATAAAAAGTTCATATGAAATTTCCGGATATTTTAGTTAGGGATCTCAGTTTGACGAACCTTCTCTCAGGTGACACACGGCAGCATGTCTCCTCCAACAGGATATAACGTAGATCCCAACACACTCATCAAGATGACTTGCGACAATGGGTCCGTTCTGCACACGGGAGAAGAGAAGTTTAAATGTAGTACTGGCATAGTTCCTACTTGCAAGGAGGATGGAGGTAAGAAACTTGGTTCAATAATTTCGTATCTCTGCAAATTGAAGAATTAGTGTCCACGGTGAGGGTAGGGCAAATCTGAAGTAACTGGCCCGAAATGTGCAAGTATACATGTGCCTCGTTTATTAATTTACGCCCCGTGAGTCTGACCAAGAAGGCATGGTATTCTTCTAGATTAACACTGATATGTTCAATAATGACAGATAAAGTGAGTGATGGTGGAGGCTCAACAACAGTGATCATAGTCGTGGTTGTGGTGGTCCTTGTCGTGCTAGCAGCTGTAGTGATTGCTGCATTCTTCATCAGAAAGAGATACTTGGTAAGAACTTGATTAAAATTATATTTTATTACTGGAATTTGTAACTGAGATTGACTGATTTGCATTAGATTGCATTGAAAGATTGAATGGTATGGATGAATGTATTGCGCACAGTTATTACTCATGATTATTGATTATTAAAATCAATCTGATTTCATACTCAGAATTGATGAATTACCGACAAAGTGACTGAGTTCGAACCCGATTATAAATGAAGGATTACCTTACTCGGGATTATTATAACCGGGATAAAGTGGTGGGTTTTGGAAGATTCCGCCATATTTTTCCCGGTCAAAAATTTTACCAGTCATAAAAAAACCCGCCGACTCAGATTATGGGGTTCCAAGGGGGTGGTGATCATCATATTTTACCTGAAGTCTCATATGTGCTAGAGAAGACTTTTGAAGCAGTGGATGGAGGGCTGTAACTTTATTGGCGGTTGCTACCATTATTTCGTTATAAAAATCACAATTTGGTTATAGAAATCAGATTTCAGGGTGGACCGTGATTCTCACTTTTCTTGCCCATGAAGTGAGTAAACTGTGCCACTATTTCATGGTCCACGGTGGATTGATTACTGGAGCAGTTGAAGATGCAAAGCCAAGACGTTCCCCAATACCAAGCGGTGGGCAGGAAATTAAGCTCCGGCTGACCTTCAGAGCAGTAGCCCCATTAGCGGACAAAATGAAAGTCTTGTTAAGACAACAATACAACTTCGAATTTGACGGTCAGCAGCAGGGGGATATCAATAATGATAATGGAGGGGACATTAGCGATAATGAGAATGGGAATACGCTTTAATGAAGATTTGACTTATTATTGCTATAGATTTATTTTCCTTTAACTACTAGACGTGTCTTTTTTTCTATTTCTGAGTAATATCAGTAACTGTAAATTGAAATAACTTCTTTAACAAGTAACAAAAACAGAAATTTCGGTTGAAAATTTGTTGACCTCTGAAAAAAAACTTGAAAGGTCGGCCACCGGTAAATACATGACCGGGATAATTTGGCGGGTTTTGGGAAATTCCGCCATATTTTTCCCGGTTATTAATTTTCCCAGTCATAAATTAACCCGCTATAATATTCCCGAGTAAGGTAGCCAAATGTTGATCTAACATTAGCATAGAATTGCACTCCTTTAATTTGCATGTTGATTGTTGATTTACACTCAATTCTAGAAGAGGGTAGGGCGTGGCCCTGAAACTGTTCTGGTCAATAAGAAGGCTCCTACTAATGGTCATGGAAATGGGAGTGAAAATGGTGAAAATGATTACCATACTAGAATTTAGGTTTAAGTAAGTTTGCTGTTCAACGTGTGCTATTATAGCCGCTCTGAGCTGAACAGCTCTCTTCTGTGTGTCTACAATGTTCGATGTCAAACTTATAGCACAGTGGATATTTCTAAATTTCATTATTTGTTTTTCTACAAGTCATTAAATCGCTTCATCTATCTTACAAAGTTCCTTTGGTGTAACATCTTGCTTGGCTGATGAATAAGGTATGTGTGCTGCTTCACAACACGTGTACGCTGTCATGTTTATGTGAAGTATTACAAAGTTACAAGATACGAGTAAAAGAAGGAGGAGATTAGAGCGCCTCAAATTAAATAGATAAGATGTATTATATTATATTCCCAGTATGCGTTTGTAGCTGTAAACGAAATTTGGATTGTGATTTGTAGGACCCTAAATGGTAGTACTAAATCATCGTGCAGCCAATACAACAATGATCCATATCATGAAGTGAAAATGTCCCACACTCGTTGCATGAAAACAAAATGCTGTATGTTCATTAACAGTTCACCCGATAAGGATTTTAAAAATATATGTATATATTTTGTTGCTTGATCAATGATCAATTTAGGAAAACTATATTTTAACAACGAAATTCCTCACCTATATCATAATAAAATCTGTAGACATATTACTGTCCTCATGCATGTCCAAGAAGTTCCGGTCTAAGTCCGGTTGTGTATATCATCGGTTACTGTTCTTGGGTTCCTGGGTGGTTCCATTACATCTGGCCTCTCAATTGGTTTTGGTTGTGGTTCTAGTTGAGGTTCTGGTTCTGGTTCTGGTGCTCGTGCTGATTTTAATGCCGCAATCTGCAGTGATGACCTGCTCTTCCACTGTTCGACATTGTTTAGCGGTTTTTTCTTTAAAGTTCTACCTCCTATCTTGCAACCTTCGAGAGATTTTAAAGAATAATCTTTAAACCCCTAGTGATCTTCTCAAACTTCTTGCAACTTGATTTGAACTTAGATTTTTCACTTGTAGTGAAGTAGTGAAGGTAACACAGGCCAACACGACAACGAGAAACAGAAATAACCGCATCGTGATCGAACTTTGATGAATTGAGTTCTGGTCGATACCTTTGGTTATTTAAAAGTAATCTAGGACGGTGTCACAACGTTATCACGTGATCGCTCTCTTCAATTATTATTTGATCATCACTACCTTCCTGTTCCTCTTTCTCGACAATTAGTTAATATTAAATTTAAGTTGCACAATTCTGAATACTCCGTATTATTAAACGTAGTCTGACTCGATTAAAAGAAAACTAAGGTTCTAATAAGAGAAGGTGACGAGATGGAAATAAACTGATACATAATTATATTATATATAGATGTGGAATGTGGATACTGGCGGGGAGGTGATAATTGTTTGTTTACGTTTTAGGTGGCGCCTCTATTCAGCAGATTGAAGAGGTGATGCAAATTGTATATTATAGAACGCTTGTAACACTTGTTACTCCTTCTTGTTACCCCCTTCGAAGGTCCCGAATTATTTTCTGAACGAAAACTTAAAAATAACCGAGAAATCGACCTTCTTATTAACTCATTTTGATGACTGTTACTGACCTGAAATTGCACGAAAAATCGATTTAACTAGGTTTTAGAACCTATAAACACTTCCTCATCCCTCAAAATGGATGTTTTATATAGCTAATACGAGCAACAAGCAACATATATTTTGATCCTTCGGTTCTACTCATGACCTAGGGCCTAGGGAGTTAAGCTGAAACCGAAAGATCGAGGCGATCCTCAGTCCTCACCTTAACTGATCCAACAGGTACTAACACAATTTTCAGATAGATATGTTCGTTGCAATATGTTTATTGCAGCCTTGCAACTTGAGTGAAGAGCAGAGTACGAAAACACATAGCAGGTTAACAACTTATTTCGGTGACTGTTTCTCACCTACCATTGTGCGAGACATCGATTTAGGTTGGTTTCACAGCCCAACAACACTCAAAATTCATGTTTTACTCAAGCAAAGAACATTTTGATTCTGCAACGAAAGAACAAGGATATCGTCTCGTTAACAACTCGAACAGGTACTATCACAATTTTCAGTCAAAAGAAACACAATGAATAAGGTAGGTAACCAACACCATGATATAACAATCATGATAACAACTGAATTACATTTTTTTCTGAACAACGGGCAGCCATGCACTCCGTGATCCTGACCGAGCAACCAATTGTAATAGCTTATAGCGGTGTTATGTCACGTGACGCCGATCCGTCCACTCACAAACAGGAAGAGTGACCTTTTACTCTGGTCGGCACCTCTTCTGCATCTGCATGAGATCAAATGAGAAACTGAGAGGGTGCACGTGAACGCTAACAGGGTGCATGTCAGCACATGACCCATGAAGCAAATTCTTAGTTGCCTGTTTAAATTTCTTCCTTGTTTATCGTTTTAGTTGAAAATTCCTTTTTAATCAATCTTCAGTCAGAACTTTAAACCATGGGAAGCGATCCATAATTGGCTTCAGCACGGCAAATATAAAGTGGTGTGAAGAGTTTATACACACGTTCATCAAGTTATTCTGTTACACACAATATTTATCTTCTTTGTTAACAATAGCTTCGTGATGCTAAGGAGAATATTTAAACTAATGTTAAGATTCATTGAGACCTATTGACGGGACATGTTTTACATTTTCTTATTGTCCTACTGCTTTGTTGACCAGCCTCATAGAGCTAGCTCTGTGAGGCTGGTCACGGTACCCACGTCTAACAATTTATTGCACATTTTTTACACGCTAACCTAACCAGCTGATGGTCATATTGATTATCATGACATAAATGTTATTTATAATGAATCTGGTTACTACATTTAAACCCAATTTAACGTGGAATTTGGACGTGTCACAGTTCAAATTTGAGTGAGCCGCCCTGTCAGGCTGTCAATAGCTGTCTAGGAGATGGTCGGCTCGTAAATGTAAAAACCGCCAGGTATGACCGGTGCCGGGGTTTCTCATAATTATCATAGTTCCCTACCTCTGTAGCTATTCCCACGATAGAAATCCTATTTTGATTCGGTAACACGACTCCTGTCCGACAGCGACAGCTGTCCGACAGCGACATCTGTCCGAATCAGGGTACCAGAAAAAAACGACATCTGTCCGAAATTGTGACCTGATTTCAATACGACACATTTCCAATTAGAGACATGATCTAAACTGTTACTTGCTAAATTGTATACGTAACATGTCCAATTTGAGATATGATCTGAGCCATAGTTTACTACCACAGTTTATTTTTCGATAGCTTTGAGGAAATCCATAGGGTTGCTGTAGTTGTCGTAACCATCTACAATTCTCTGAAGTTGTCCATCATAACGGATCCATTTGGGTGCACGTGGCTCAGGTAGTTCCCGCCAGTCTCTTTTGGTTTTCTTCACGTCTGTAACAGGAGAGTTTGGAGTCAGGTACTCCTCCCAGATGTTGGTCTGCTTAACATGCTTCAGGAGGGCTTTCTTGTAGTGGAAGTTACATCCTCGTCTGGTAGTGGAGGGCCACACGGAAGCAACTTGCTCGAGATTCGTAACCCAATCCACCGACTGCTTCAGATACGATGGCCGTGATGAATGGATTTCCAGTAGATTTCATTCGAAGTCGAATCACTTCGGGTTTATTTTGATAGCTTTGATCTATTGTAAACCAATTGCTCCTATTCTCACTAACTATCGGAAGATTTACGTACTAAAGTGCGATAACGAAAGTTCGTGTTTTCCGAATGTCATTATACTACTATACTAATGAACGTTATAAATTCGAGATTTTGGCAGAACCTACTAACCTACAGGTGGACATGACAAGGATTAAGTTTGACCCATTTCCCGAGCCAACTGTCAATAAACTCAATAATCACTTATGCCTGAGCGAGCATGCTGTCTCTTTTACACAAAACTCAGTTACAGAACTTTAGTATGTAAATCGTCCGATAGTTAGTGAGAGGAGGAACAATTGGTTTACAATAGATCAAAGCTATCAAGATAAACCCGAAGTGATTCGACTTCGAATGAAATCTACTGGAAATCCATTCATCACGGCCATGAATCAAAATAGAATTTCTATCGTGGGATCAGCTACAGAGGTATGGAACTATGATCATTATGAGAAACCTCGGCACCGGCCATATCAGACGGTTTTTACATTTACGAGCCGACTATCCCCTAGACAGCTATTGACAGCCTGACAGGGCGGCTCACTCAAATTTGAACTGTGACATGTCCAAATTCCACGTTAAATCGGGTTTAAATGTAGTAACCAAACTCATTATTATAAATAACATTTATGTCATGATAATCAATATGACCATCAGCTGGTTAGGTTAGCGTGTAAAAAATGTGCAATAAATTGTTAGACGTGGGTACCGTGACCAGCCTCACAGAGCTAGCTCTATGAGGCTGGTCAACAAAGCAGTAGGACAATAAGAAAATGTAAAACATGTCCCGTCAATAGGTCTCAGTGAATCTTAACATTAGTTTAAATATTCTCCTTAGCATCACGAAGCTATTGTTAACAAAGAAGATAAATATTGTGTGTAACAGAATAACTTGATGAACGTGTGTATAAACTCTTCACACCACTTTATATTTGCCGTACGGACGCCAATTATGGATCGCTTCCCATGGTTTAAAGTTCTGACTGAAGATTGATTAAAAAAGGAATTTTCAACTAAAACGATAAATAAGGAAGAAATTTAAACAGGCAACTAAGAATTTGCTTCATGGGTCATGTGCTGACATGCACCCTGTTAGCGTTCACGTGCACCCTCACAGTTTCTCATTTGACCTCATGCAGATGCAGAAGAGTTGCCGACCAGAGTAACAGGTCACTATTAGAACAGTGATTATTGAATGTACGATAGATAACAACCGATACTACAGCGGTGGATTCAAATGTCACCTGGTCAAACCCGGGGTGGACTATTTACATAAAGCGTCCCAACGGCTCCTGAAACATGGTAGAACTTGGTAAGCTCGGGAAATTGGGTCAAACTTAACCCTTAATGTCATGTCCTCCTGTAGGCTTTACCTTATGAATTTATAAAATTCGCTAGTGTAGTTAGAGTATGGCGACACTTGAAAGCCACGAACTTTAGTTGCTCAAAGCTATCAAAACTATCATGGTGTTGGTTACCTAACTTCATTGTGTTTCTTTTGACTGGAAATTGTGATAGTACCTGTTCGAGTTGTTAACGAGACGATATCCTTGTTCTTTTGTTGCAGAATCAAAATGTTCTTTGCTTGAGTAAAACATGAATTTTTAGTGTTGTTGGGCTGTGAAACCAACTTAAATCGATGTCTCGCACAATGGTAGGTGAGAAACAGTCACCAAAATGAATTGCTAACCTGCTGTGTGTTTTCGTACTCTGCTCTTCACTCAAGTTGCAAAGTTGCAATAAACATATTGCAACGAACATTTCTATCTGAAAATTGAGTTACTACCTGTTCGATCAGTTAAGGTGAGGATTGCCTCGATCTTTTGATTTCAGCTTCCCTAGGCCCTAGGTCATGAGTAGAACAGAAGGATCAAAATATATGTTGCTTGTTGGTCGTATTAACTATATAAAACATCAATTTTGAGGGATGAGGAAGTGTTTATAGGTTCTGAAACCAAGTTAAGTCGATTTATCGTGCAATTTTAGGTCAGAAACAGTTATCATGAGTTAATAAGAATGTCGATTTCTCGGTTATTTTTAAGCTTTCGTTCAGAAAATAATTAGGGACCTTCGAAGGGGGTAACAAGAAGGAGTTACAAGTCTTACAAGCGTTCTATAATACAAAATTTTCATCACCTCTTCAACCTGCTGAATAGAGGCGCCACCTAAATAAAAAACGTAAACAAACAATTATCACTTCCCCGCCAGTATCCACATCTATATATCAGTTTATCTCCACATTATACTTTTATTATTGTCTGTGGTCAATCAATATATAGCGTGATCTACAGTCTGCAATCTAGATATTATATAAAACACAGTACGAGTTACCGGGGCCTCATGATGCAGCCTCCTCCATAACAATGGAGTCTGAATCCAGCTAGACACCAACTTGTAGTGATCAATCGAATCAGCTCCCATTAAGATTACATCCATACATAGTCAAACAGCATGAGACAAGTGGAAAACAAACGAACGAATAGAATTCAAGTTCGTAAAAGATCGTCGCTTGAGATTGGAGATTTCAAAACTCTAATTCGACAGGCGAAATTCTCTTGTCGAGCTTTAGTTTGTGTCGGACTTTAGTATGTGCCAAACAAGAGTCCAGGTAGCGCACACTTGTTCGACAGAGTCGAACTTAAGGGTTGTCGAACTAGAGTACGTATCGAACTCGGAACTACAGTACGTGTCGAATTGGAGTACGTAACTAGCCACTCCTAAACTAGCCACCCCTAAACTAGCCGCCAGCAACTCCTGCGTAAGTGACCGTGTCTTCATGTTATACAGTTTTAGGTTTGCATCATTGATCATTGTTATAACTTTATAAGTCTTCGTATTCTTGTTCAATTCATCTTAAACGGTTATGCATTGGAAGCATTTTTAAAAATTAGTTAGTAAGCATGGGAATTCTGAATGCTAATTTAATATCGTCCCCCACCCTGTTATATCAATATCTGATTGTTAAGCGTGTATTTGATATTGAATTTATTGTATTAGGTACGGCTGTAAAGAAGAACCTTATAAAAGGGTTTTACACAATTCAAACAGTAAACATATGATCCATGCGAGAATTAATCGAGAATCCCGCACTACAATAAAAATTTATCACGGACGATAATTTTAACAAATATTCCCCCCTAGTACTCATCTGACCAGAACCATGCTGTGAGAAAAACAGACAACAGAGCACCCGTATCAGAAACCGCAGAAACGCAGAACATATAGATGTTAATTTGCTGTCCTGATCAAGGACCAAACCGGACAGATTTTTTACTTTGTTTAACTGCAGAAACTTGTGTTTTTAAAAGAAGACAAGTTTCTATTCTAATTTATTGATTATTATATTTATTGAAATAAACATATAATATTCATTACTCCAGGAGTGATGACCGACAGGATATATAAAAAAATTAAAAAAATGAAACTTGTGTTTTTTAGTGTTTATAGTTATAAGTCGATAATTGGATTTTTATTAAGATTTACTGCTTAAAATCCAATACACAACCTTGGCTTATGTTCTTACTTGTTAGACTTAAAAGAGAATTGATATTTTTTTGCTCTACAGAATTTGATTTAATAATTTTAGATTTTGTTTGTAAATATAGTGAAGATTTATTGCAGAGCAGAGTTTCATTCAAACATGTAATAGAATTTTGGATTTTACTAATTCACTCGCCAGCGCGCTATCACGTGTTTTTAATGCCGTGATTTCATTGGTCACCTCTATAACGCGCATTGTTTGTGACAGGACAGTTTTTTCACATAATTTGTCAACCGCGCGTGCAATAAACTCAATTTAAGCTCCGCTTTGTGACCGAAATGGGCCCTAATATGGAATTTATGCAACGCATGGCCGGTAATTAGCTAATTGAATTTTCGGCACAAGGACCAGGTTGCATATTACATATTATATTACATCACAGTGCTGGCAAGCACGACCGGTGCATTTATTGTGGGTATACTATGTACCCCCTTTACTATTATACCCCCTTTACTATTATACCCCCTTTGGTACACGTTACAAGCCTCTTTCGTGCACGCGAAGCGTGCACTCCGGCCGGAGGCGTTTTTCAGGCATTAAGACTCATCGGAAGTCGTTCAGCAGATTTATTTTTAGTTCAAAACATTCTAATTTGATGTCAAAGATGACAGGAATAAAAAATAGTTATGTTGAGATTTTTAAGAAATTTGCATAAAATACTCGCCAGCACTGTTATACGAAATTCGGTAAAAAACCCAAAATCGCCATATTCAGGTGCCTTAAAAACCATGTTAAAATTGAGTTAGAGATCTGAAATTTTTCAGGGCGTCTAGACGTTGACCAAATCGACTGCAAAAAAAGTTTCAGGTTTCAGGAGCATCGGGAAGTGGGTTTTCTAGAACCCCTGTTTTACGATAGATTGTCGTGATACATATATACATATATATATATATTCAGGGATAGACGCTTTGCCAGTCAATTGTAGCCTGTATTTAATTGTCCATAGATTTAAAAGTATAAAAGATACAGCCATTTCCGACCACAGGTCTTGCAAATAATTGTTTATACTTTAGTTTACATTGTATACAAAAATTATATGACGTCATAAACACCCCTTGATGACGTCATCAAGCTAACCGTTTTTAAAACTTGATTTTTGACAAAGTAATAATTTTTAAAATTAATTTTAAACCATTAAGGAGTAATTTTATTCAAAATCTGAGGAAATTTTCATCTTAGATAATTGTTCAAGCATTCTGAAAATCTACCGGAAAGTTTTTCTAGCTTGCTCCTTCATAAAGATATTCGTCATTGAAGTTTGTGCTTTTTTGAAGAATTATTTTATAAAAACGTCAATTTTGCGATTTAGTATTCTCTGGTGTTGGGCCATGCCTTGGGTTGTGGAGCTCAGTTCTGCTTCCTATAGGTATAAATTGTGTCATAGGCTAGTTTTAAAGTTGAAAATCGAAAAGTTGCACACGTTGGGACACGCCCAAATTGATAGAAAATCGCTAAAATCACTGAAAATTGCTGTTTTCGTCATTTTCTGTCAACTTTAGAGTGCCGTTGTGATTACAGTTCTTCTTAAAATACTTTGAAACTTTGCATGCTTATCAAGCTATATATAAAACAATTACATGCAAAAATTTACGGCGATTCAATATTGGATGCGCACGCAACGTCTGCTCAAAGTTTGCACGTGCGAAAGGTGAGAATTTTGCTCATTCGTGATTTCCAACAAATTCTGCTTTGCCACGACAGTTTAATGTCATTATATATGAATTTAATGCCAACTTGAATGAGTATTAAGTGGCATATTCAGTCAGTGATCGACCGATATGCTTCCCTAAACACAAGGAAATGTTTTTAAAGGATAGATTTCGAAATCGTTGAAACTTCCTCCTTATTAATGAAGATATCAGTTTATATTTCGACTTTATAAAGTACCCTGACATTATAATCAAAAAGAGATGATATTTTACCAAAACCCATAATCATGGGTAGAGTGGACCGCTGTCAGTGTCTCTCTTTCCCAAACAAAAGGAAATGATATTACTTTGATTGACCGTTCTCAAATGCAAAATGATACCGAGAATGAAATCGGTCGCTCGCTTTTCCCATTCATTTACAATTGTAATAGATTAAGAAAAACTACCCAAAGGCAGCTGTACTCGGCAATGAAGATTCAATAAACTTCAGCTAATTCAATAAGTAATACTAATAACTACCACCCTTACCCCGAAATACTAGGTATCGACCCGAACGCAACCCAAAGAGATTTTTACAGCATCTGATTGATGTAATCAATCGAAACTTATTACAATTCGTAAGCCGTGAATGAATGGGAAAAGCGAGCGACCGATTTCATTCTCGGTATCATTTTGCATTTGAGAACGGTCAATCAAAGTAATATCATTTCCTTTTGTTTGGGAAAGAGAGACACTGACAGCGGTCCACTCTACCCATGATTATGGGTTTTGGTAAAATATTATATACTTAAATACAGTGTAACATATTTAATTTTTTTATTATGTCAATTAATTATATTAATTACGTCGCAAGAATGTTATCTGGTTCTTGTACCAGCTAGCTGCATGTTTGAAGAATTAAAACAAAATTTTATGACGACTCGTCAATGAGCTGTTAGAATTATAATAACATTAACAACATGTAAAGATGTAAAGATGTAAAGATCGGTAATCTTTAATATAAACGCTACAGTTGATAAAATAAATGAAGGCAAAAAAAAATCATTAACAAAATATATCGCTGATCGCCTTATAAAAGTGATAAAATAACTGCAGTTGTTAAATAGAACTCAAAGAGTCTGAATGAAATTAACAATATCGGGAGCAATTAACAGTAACTGACCAAAACCACTAATCAATCATTTTCCATTCTCTAGCTGCACTGCCCCCAGGAACAAAGGAAACATATTGGTGCGGTAAAATTATGCAAATAGTGCGATCCCACTCCTGCCTACAATTATATTATGTGCAACAGATTTTAAAGGTAAAAACACCGCGATTAAGCTAAATTTAACGGGTGATACTCTTAAAATATTTGTTCCATATACAGGACCGTCGAAGAGTCCAACTCGGTGCGCGTCCTGGTAGGTTGTAAACCTACAAAGCTAAATTCACATAGTACATACGTTGCATGCCACTTTTCGCGCGCGAAGCGCGCGCCGCCGAAGGTATATTTGGGATACAAAACATGTATCAAAAGCTAAACAATTCGCCAAATTTGCAGCCTTTAGTATAGTGGTTCTCTCTAGTTGGATTATTCAACAGCGCGCGTAGAATTTAAAACTAATTACAACACTACACTTCGGCGGCGCGCGCGAAAGGTGGCATGCAACGTATGTCAACAAATCTATTACATTTATTAAGGACGTTATACTTGTTATACTTGTTAGCCTCATTTCACCCTCTCAAAAGTTGTATCACGTGGTGACCCCCACGGTCGCTTCACTATATACGATACCCCTGTATCGTCTGACGTCTTCGACGATACAGGGGGAGCCGCGCACTTCGTGCGCGGCGGGTCTTACCTGAGGACCCCAGGCTATTATGTTCATTAACGGAATGACAGGCTGAGCGCGGCCCAGTAAGGCGGGTCATACAACGTATGACAACTCAAAAGGTGGTTAGCCAATAGCCTCATTTTCAACTCGAATATTTGAAGCTTAGATACCGATTAAGTAATACTTAAATAAGTATAATCCCAAGGAATTTCATGTGCAACATAAATATCAAGTAACTTGTGAATTGTTAACCTCCTAGGAAACCCTTCCGGCTGGGGTATATCTCCAAAAGTAAAATAGATTGTAGATAATAGAACCTTCTGGTTTTCAACAAAATTTCCGTCTCGTAAATTTAAAATTAGCTCCCCAGGAGCCAAATTTGGGACAACTTAGATTTTGAATTAAACCGAAAAGTTTGATTTTGGGCTAAATAAAAGATCACAGCTTTTAAACTTTGCAAAGTGATGTAATTCCGCCTAATCTCTCATTCCGCCTAATCTCTATTATGTTAATGAACATAATAGCCTGGGGTCCCCAGGTAAATGTCATCAAATTATAATAAACGATAAAGTATGTTAAAAACTTTTCTGTACCACCTGCACTTGACGGATGTTACTCGTCTAAATTTCTTCGAAGTAGCGCGCGCCGCTTTCTTCTCGAAATGTAGCGCGCGCCGGGCCAGATCATTAACAATGGTCAACACCTGCACCACGCCACCGCTTACGTTGTGGACTAGCCTTGCGGTACGAATGCGCGGCTATATTGTGGCTAATTCGCCCACTATTGTATCACGTTGTTACCCCACGGTCGTTTCACTATAGTCCTCAGTCCTGACGATACAGGGGGAGCCGCGCACTCGTGCGCGGCGGGTCATACAACGTATGACAAGCCCACTATGGAACTAAATCATAAACACAATAAATAAAAAATGCGATCATGAGAATCATGATGTGAAACATGACTTTTACGTGCATTTACAAACGTTTTTAAGCCCCTTTTCCTATTAGGAGGGGGTTGGGTATTGATTACGGTTGATTACGGAAGGAGGAGGGGGTAAAATTGCTAAATATAAAATATTGATTATTTGTAGCGAGATGCGCTATTGGGCCTCGCCGAGCAAGCTGCGAAAAATTTGGAGGACTTCGACGCGCCGCGCGAACTAGCATTCTTGCTTCGCATCGTTGCTCTGCTTCGCAGAGCAACGATCTCGATGGGTTGACATCGTCAACCAACGAAAAATTAACATCGTCAATTAAATTCATTAGGTAATATGTGAACGACCCCTAAAGCCTAACACCTAAGTAATTCAGTACATCAATGTCAAACTGTCAAGAGTTAAATAACTTCATTTTATATCACAATAACTTCATTTATCACAATACAAGAGGGCCAAAGTTAAAAGTGCAACGATACTGCTCATGCTACTAACTGCTGCTATATAACTGATGCTCACTTTGACGGATGTTACTCGTCTAAATTTCTTCAAAAACTGCTAACTGCAGCTGTCGCGCCATTTGCAGCATTTAGCAGCAGTTAGCAGCAGTTAGCAGCAGTAAGCAGCAGTTAGCAGCATTTTAGCATTTAGGCGTGTTTACTGCGCAGCGCACGCCGTGCGCAACTACTGAAACATGAAAACTGCTGCTAACTCTACTTTATTTTATTTTTAGTTTTTTCTACCATCGCAATGTAATTGTAAAGGCTGCCCATAGTTTTTAATTGGGTTTTCAATGTTTCTGGTTTGGTTACCACTGGTCTTGCTCTTCCATAGAATTCACTACTAAGATCTGAACAGCACTTAGCGCCAAGCCAGCGATGATAGCAATTTGTGGTGAAGCAAAAGAAACCAAAGCGGTGCCGGCTACCGCTGCCGTCGAACTTGCACCTTGCATTATGCCAGATCCAATAGCCATCCCATTTTTTCCGAAATATCGAACGTCGTAGCTTATGTAATTCTTTTCCATTGAGATCATCCCGTATACCAATTTTCCTAAAAATGTCATGACCACAATAACGATTAGGTTTTCTTCGATGAGCAGCAACATCAAGTAGCTGGCTAAAATAATCACGGCAAGCGAGGTGTACAAAATTCTAAATCTAATCTTCTTTCTGATGATCGGAGATGCAATTCTTCCTAGTCCTGCTGCTCCTGCAACAAATGCCAGGAGGAAGAATTGATTTCCTTGAGTGACTGTTTCGCAGTTGGTACCTTCTCCACCAACTTCTTTTACGTTGAAAAGTCGTATCAATGAAGGTAAGGGTAGAATAGTCCCCCAGCCTTGGTAGTTATTAATGATGACAAAAAAGCACAGTTTTAATAGTCTCATTTTGAAATTTGGTACCTCCACAGCTTTTGCTTTTCCATTTTCAGTTGGTTCTGTTTGCAGTGGCGTAACGTTGCCTGTTGGCGCCCCCCTGCCGAAAAAAGCGCCCCCCTGTTGGCGCCCCCTCCCCTTTTGGTGCCCCTCCCTAAAATTGAACAAATTAGGTGATTTTAAAGAATACGCCGGTAAAATCTCTAAAAAAGTGTGTATCTAGAGTAAAACGCGCAGTTTTGCTAGTACTTTAGTTAAGTTTTCGAAATTGTCCCACATTCAAACGACGATTTGGCGCCCCCCTAAGACGGCGCCCCCCTGCACAGCGGGGTCAGCAGGGCCTTTCGTTACGCCACTGTCTGTTTGGTTGATTGTTTCCAAATTGGAGCTGTCTTTTAAGAAAATGTGTAGGATTAAGATTGGAGGAATGAAATTGGAAGAGAGGCGATGAGCAGGAATGTTCTCCAGCCGAGCAGATCTAGACTGAAATACCCGATAACTGGAATCCAGATACTGCCTACAGAGTAACCTAAGCTACTAACCAGTATTAAAGTATTCATAATCTTCTTACTGCTAGCTTTTTCGGCCTGAAACACGAAGGTGACAGACATATTCAATCCCACAGTGAAGCCTATGAGGGCCCTTGAGATTAGGAGAGTCAGGTAGTTCCCCGCCACAGAACAGACGATGGTGCTCACTATACTACCGTAGGGCGTAGAGGGACAGGCAGATAGTTTCTCGTCGGCCAAATCTGTAATTAGAATAATTTGAGGGAATTGAACAGTTCTCAACTACCAAAAATTAGCAACTAAACAACAAACCATGATGTTGCCTAGTATTAGTAAAAGTATAAACGGTACACTGTACAGGTACCTCGAGCGTGTTAAGATGATTTGAGGACTTCCAGTCCTCATATTCACAGTTCAGTATTTAACTATTACAGTCGCACTGAAGCTCTTACCGAGTAGATAAGGGACCTGCAGCAAAGGTAGTAATCCCCATTGTTAAATAAAGAATGCAGCCTAGAATTCCTTCCTGCCAATCATTAACTCCAATTTCGCAGGCCACGTATTGTGTTAAAACACCTGCAGAATTTCAAAGTCATGCAAAATCCTTGACAATGGGTAGTATAATGTTCGCAAGAAACTGCTTAATCTGTTAATTTCAATTCAGTTTTTTTCAAAGTTATCATTCTTATAAGAGTGATATTTTTAGGAATTTGAGCTTCATAAATGAAGCTCAAATTCCCAAAAATACCTGGTAAATATATCTCAATGTCATCCCCGATATTGATAAGCAGTCCAAAGAAAAGAAGAATCCAATCCTTCCTTGTCCAAGTATCGTTCGTCTTTTGGAGAAGATCACTTTGTTCGCCTGAGCTTTCTCCCATTATAATAGTAGCTGTTAAAAAAGAGATCTAAGTAAAACAATCAAAGCTACATCACATATTTTTTTACCGACGGCCGACAAAATTGTTGTTTTGCAAACTTAGCTTTAGACGAGTTTCGTTTCGCAAAACACATAAAATAGAACAATATAAAACATAATTTGTTAAACGTGGCAACTGAATTACTCCTAAAGTTTGATCGCAATCACTCGACAGATTGAAATTGAGTCACTTTAGTCACGATTACATAGTATAGTATGTAGTTTGCAGATTCTCCCAATCTACATTATTAAAAATTCAATGTGTGTAAATCTAGAATTATAGATCTGGAATTGTAAGGAAAATCGGTGTAAGAAATTAACCTTGTACATCCTTTGTTGTCTTAAACTCAGCAATCTGATTATCTGATGTTACAGCAACCTTGTATATAAGGTTGCTGTAACAGATTATATATTAATATATAATATAATAATAATAATAAATTGACTCTGAGGTTCAGAATCACATAATAGTTACCTAGCAATCGAAATAAGCATCACATTGATATTTTGTTGTGCAGTTTACTTAGAAAATCATCAACATGAAACCTTAAATATTTTTCATACTATCAGGTGGGCGGTGGCTGCCAAGATTCTTCTTTCATTGAGCATGAGTTTTATCCTAATTTATTCGACATAACTCTCAACATTGGGCCTATTGCCACAACAATAATATATGCAATGTTGAAGAAATTACCAACTTAACTGTCCAACAATTCCATACTTAACTGTCATGATTCCATGAGCAAAGTTTATTACTTCGAATAATTTTAGAATGAGATGAGATAGTGATTGAACAATCTGGACAAATGTTATACCTTATCACTCTTCTTTTAGCAGGTACGGAAATATTTCTTTAAATGCACTTTTGTGGTACAACATACAAACAACATCCACTTTACTTCTATAGGGATACTTTTTTCTATTATTGACAAATTTTAAAACAAAGTAAATCACTTTCACTGAACCAGTTTAATTGCCAGCAGGTGCAGTGTGGACATGGGACTGTGAGTATGAACTTGGGAAGGTCTACCAGTACCACTATACTAGTGAACTCATCAACACAGTTCCTGACAAACAATCTGCTCCATCAACTAACCATGGTAGGATTTTAGAACTGAAATATTGTTTCAATTACTTGCATCATGTTTCAATTATTTGCATCAACGTATTGTTCAGTAATCAGTTATGCATGTATTTCGTTTGGTGAAATGTGGTCTTGGTCAATTAACATAATCTATCAGCTAGTCATTCATTTTACCTTCAAAATGTAGAAAGGCTGTATTAATAAATCTGTTAATTTTATTCAGGTATTATACTCAGTGGAGTAGTAACTCTAATTCCTCTTGCTATGCAGACTGACATGTTCTACATTGAGGTGAATAAAAACATACAGTTTCTCACCACATTAAACACATATTTACAATGTTAAGCCATAATTCTATAATTCTACAAACTATTTGAACATTTGGGTTGCAAATCCACACTGCACCTCACAACCATTACCTACACACCAACAACAGCCTCCACATCTCCCTGAACACACATCCTGGCACACTGCAACCTGTGCAGTGTGCAGTGTGTTAGGATGTGTGCTCATCTTAATCAAATCTACCTGGTTTCCTCGCAATATTATAACACCAATTTGAGATCAGGACTCCACACAGATCACTAGACTGTACGGCCTGTAACAGACTGTAGCCTGGACATTGTACCACCTCTCTTCACTGACCCTACATAATGGTTTAATGAGTGGCCGTGTACTGATTGAATGGAGAGCACTGAAATCTGATTCCTGGCTGGTAAATTAATTATATCTAATTTTAAGGGGGAAGATTTTTAGGTGCAGATCCAGGTGTTTCGCTTTATTTCTGTATTAGATTTTAGATAAGATTAGTATTATGAATTGAAGTCTCTTTGTACTTTTTATTATTAAGGGGGCATACCCCAAAACAGTGGTTTGTGCCGTCCAGACCAAATGACCTCATAGGCAGTTCAGTGACCTTCTAGCGCACCGTTTCCACACCAAAAAAAATTATTTTGAGAATACCCATTTTTGTAATCGAGCATTTCCTGGTTAAGAGTGCAATTTTCGGAAAAAATTATTTTGTGGGTTTGAGACGCTATAAGTTAATCATTTCTTGCGGTATCGGGTTGAAATTTTGCTCGCCGTTTATTCACATCTATGTCAAGGTGTGTGTACAATCTTGATATCGTATCTAAAAAGGCTGGTGTGTTATGAATTTTTAAAGTCAAAAAGCTAAAATTGTCCTTTTCAGGCTTATTTTAACAATAAGTCAGTCAGGGAAGATCGGATTATTTGATGCTTGACATCAAATTGTTCTCTGAATTCTGGCGCAGTTTTTGATGCCCTCAAAAATGTTTTTACTCATTCACCTTCTGATCTATTGGACCTCAAAGCCAAACAACAAATTTAGGCACATTTTTCGTTTTTAATATTTACTGATTTTTCTAAAATTTTGATAGGAATGTGCTAGTGACTTTTTGAGGGTGCAAAATAACCGCAACTAGCACATTTATATATGAGTTATGAACAACAAAACACCCTAAAATGCTTTCCTTTGAAGTTATGGGAGAAAATGTGATTTTTTATCTGCAAAGCCAAATGTGCCTAAATTTGTTGTTTGGCTTTGAGGTCCAATAGATCAGAAGGTGAATGAGTAAAAACATTTTTGCGGGCATCAAAAACTGCGCCAGAATTCAGAGAATAATTTGATGTCAAGCATCAAATAATCCGATCTTCCCTGACTGACTTATTGTTAAAATAAGCCTGAAAAGGACAATTTTAGCTTTTTGACTTTAAAAATTCATAACACACCAGCCTTTTTAGATACGATATCAAGATTTTACACACACCTTGACATTGATGTGAATAAACGGCGAGCAAAATTTCAACCCGATACCGCAAGAAATGATTAACTTATATAGCGTCTCAACCACAAAATAATTTTTTCCGAAAATTGCACTCTTAACCAGGAAATGCTCGATTACAAAAATGGGTATTCTCAAAATAATTTTTTTTGGTGTGGAAACGGTGCGCTAGAAGGTCACTGAACTGCCTATGAGGTCATTTGGTCTGGACAGATTTGGGGTATGCCCCCTTAATGAGTGGATAGAAAATATGGGCATAAAAGGGGCTCGTGAATAATGTTGAGTTATGATATAACATTGATCCGGTGGTATAGTTCCTAAGTTTATGTTCAAATGCTAAGGCTTATAGCAGTAACAACAATTACAAGTTCACCTTGACAATACTCATTCAAAACACAGTTCATTGTTCATATATCCATTGTTCATTCAATGATTATTATTACTGTCATGTATCATAATAATTTGGGAGCAGTGATATACAAAAGTATCATCTTACAACTTATATTTAGTCTGCATTTATTACCCTTATTATCCAAATCCTGCATAAAAACTTTACATCTCCTTATCCTCATCTTCCAACCTACAATACCGTTCATTTTCCCACCAAATTTCCTCTGATTTACCTCACTTTACCAATCTCAAATTAAATTAACTCATGATTTACCAGGTATACATAGAGTCAATACAACAGCAGAATATAGACACACTTTACAGCCATGTGCTGGACCACTCCAAGTTTGCGGCTCTCTTCCTGGTTTCTTCTGACACTTTCAGAATACCCAGAGATCAAACTGGATACGGTACGTGTTTTGGAAAATTGATATTTCGGGATTATTATGCGATCAAATTAACTTAAGATAACTTCTTTATCGTAGATTAAAGCTGAGCTTCCGAATATCATGACAGAAGAATAGAATATTCAAACTGGATACGGTACGTGTGTTGGAAAATTGATATTTCGGGATTATTATGCGATCAAATTAACTTTAGATTATACTTCTTTATAGTAGATTAAATATTACCTATGACTCCCAATAAGAGTTGCGCTCGTTCCAGCGATCAATTATTGATTATTAATCTTCCCCCAAACAATTCTCCGCCAGCTCGCTGAAAGATGAATAATGGTTTTTGTTGTTGAATAATTTCATTCTCATCATGAGAAAGAGGTTGTGGTTGTATAAAAGTAGCAACGTAGATAGAAGCTGAGCTTGCAAATATCATGACTGAAGAATGGAATATCGTAATTCTTTTATGAATAAACACTGGAAAAATTACATCATTATTGCTTCATTAAATTACGACGAGAGATTCAAGGTATATTTATCATTTATTCTGTCTTGATCCAATAATTTTAGACTCGTTTAATGACAGTAATTAGCAGTTCCAGTGTATTATCAGTATAAGTACTAACTCCATCTTATCCACTTATCCATAACATTTGATTATCTATCGGAATTCTTGGAGAATTCTGCAATCCTGCAGGAAAGCTGAGGTGCAGTTATTTACTATATACTAGCATTGTAGCCTCACTATGTATCACCCTCAGCTCAAACTCTTGTATTTCAAAACTTTAGTTTTCAGCGGCTGCAACCCTCAATTACAAAATCTCATCTGAAATATCTATCAATGTGACAATGTAATTTTGGTATAAATTGAGGGTTGCAAAGCACAATTTAGCTTCACGCATGTCAATCATTTACCAATATCTATAGAGGAACCCTTTGCCGTTTAAGTTAGAGAGTTATCAGTCGTTAGAAGAGTTATCAGTATACAGACTGGAAACTGAGATCTAGAATCTGAACTTCAGATATCAGACTTCAAACTGAGATCTAGAATCTGACCTTTAGACAGAACTTTAATATCCGTATCTCACAAGATCCGGCATTACTAATTACTTACAGACACCAGCTACCAGTTACCTGTTACTGACAGGCACCAGTTACCTGTAACTCAGAGTGAGATAATACCTATTGTCCCACACCTTGTTTTCGGAGAATTGCTAAGTAAACAACGTTTAATTCACAATGACACGATAGTTTCCTCCTTTGTGACGTCATCAGACACGATATGACGTCATCAGAGGCATGTTAAATTTTACCGAGTGATCACTAGTTATCACGGTATATCGTAAGATAGCCCTGTCTCTACCTTTAATGGATTATGGAACACCTTCATTTTAGTGACGTTTCTAATTTTACATAGACCGAGGGATCATTAGATATCAGAGAATATTTTAAAATACTTTTATATAGCTTGACCTTTTCAGTGACGTGATATCCTGGATTTTACATGGTGATCATTAGTGATCACATATTAAATAGTTAACCTTTGGTAGCCCGCCTTATTTCTAGTCATGTTGTAGCCTCTCTGTAAGTGTAGTGCGTTCATCGTGTGGGTTTGTTTTGCACACTACAAAGAAAATAACATTTGCAAATTTGCCAACACGAAAGGTCGTTGATAAATAGTCGCAATATGATATCATTCATCAGAGTGAAACCAAAATCATTAGCTATCATCAGTGACTGGACGAGTGTGATAAACTAAAAATTTGCAAGAGCTTTATTTTTACCGTTTGGTCATCACGCACAAAAATAACAAAAGTCACCTTAAAATGTGTGGACCGTTAGTCTAGATAATTCCTTTGAACGCACCTATAACAGTACAAATATAAGCTGCATACATCAATAAACATGTAATAATTGATAACTATGATTGAATAAAGAATCGGGACCGATTTCAATTTGAATTTCGAAAATTCATCGAAGTGAGATTTAAAATGCTTTTTTCAAGTATAAAGATAATCAACAATACTTTGATTACTGTTAATTAATTAAATACTAATTATCATCAGCAATTATCAATTAAAGTTAATTAACTTTCAGAGTCTAACGTGTTACGAGCAGTTATCAGTGCTCTGAAGATAAAAAGTTGTCAACAAACCGGTGTCTACACTGCCGACGAGGTTCTTAAATTAAATTAATTATTTCTGCGAATAATTAGATTCGTTTATTTCAGTTCAACGCTGTTGTAAACGATTTTTACACATTTACACCTAATGTAAATTGTATATTTTGGATTGATTAAAATTAAAATAATCTAAAACTTGTTTGCATCTTACATCATCCTGGCTGGCTGTTTTGTGCAAAAATTTGTCCGAAGCAATCACAGGGCTAATAAAGCTAATGGTTGTTTCTATAGTTTATCACCTAATTAATCACTAATTGCTTAATTAATCACTAATCACCTTATCAATAACTAATCGCCTGATTAATTACTAATCACATAATTAATCACTAATCACATAATTAATCACTAATCACATAATTAATCACTAATCACCTAATTCAGAATAATCAGAAACTATTTGGAACTCCCAAAAACTGTCACCTAATTAATCACTAATCACCTCATTAATCACTAATCACATAATTAATCACTAATCACCTAATGACCCAGGTGACAGTAGCTGGACGACACACCTCCACTTATGAGAGTAACAGAGTAGACACTCTCATGTTTGATGGTCACATTCTCTACCCAAGTGAAGGTTTATATTTAAATATTCATTAATTATTAAAGATATTTTAATTGGTCAGTACGATAATATATAGTAGATGAGGTGGTACACACCTTCAATCTTCATGTGTGACCGCTCTCAACCTGGGATAGTCGCTGATAGCAACAAGGCATATCTGTTCAATAGCAGTCGATGAGTTACGTCACGTGACTCAGATCCGACCAATCACGCAACAGGATCATTGGACGGTTATCATATGTTTACTTTTCTTATCTGTATTTGACACTCTGTTGAGATGGATATCAGATATTTTTGTGCAGCTACCAAATTGTACAAACTTCAAATCAACCAAGAGAGAGTTGTCGGATGACGTCAGTTCGTTTCTCGGAGGCGTCGGTGTGCATTGTTCTTTCAGTTGCTCAGTGTTCTCAAAACAGTGCGATTAGTTTGTAATCTCACTGTTTGAGAGCAACTGACAACACAGTCAGTGCGATAATAAACTAATTGCACTGATTATAACACCAGAGTTATACTCGAATCTAACTGCATGTATAATACGATCACACCAGTTATTGCACTCGGCTTCGCCTCGTGTGATTATTGTATCAATTTGCACTCAACTGCGCCTCGTGCAATTAATAGTGTAATCGCATTATACGCAGTTAGATTAGCGTATATAATCTTGTTATTCGTGCGCCTTTTTTGACTGGGCCCTGGGGTATTCATCGCTCTCTCTAGACTTTAGAATTAGATTATATAAATTTTCGGAATTATACTATATTACATACCGTAATATTTAGAATTCCTTAGATTTACAGAATGCATAGATCTATACTAGTATAATGATGGTGGGCTGGATTCAGTTTGTTTTGTTTCGTGACCGCGACTAACCAATCAGATCACAGCATCGACCAATCCATATCTTGAATCAATGTAATATTCCAAACAAACTTGTGCGCCGCCCACAATTACCTATGTCTAAAACAAGTTACTGGTTATAAATATCTGTTACCTTTTCAAATTATGCAAAGAATTTACTCCACAAATGTTATACTAATTCTTTGAGGAATACTTCTTTAGACGTGATCATACCTTATAAACACCACAAAGTAGTTTTAGTTGACAAACTTATCAGTTCACAGAGATAGTGACTCACGGGTACCAGTAAAATGTATAAATATTTCTTTAAAAACGCGGGAAATTAACGAAATATCGGGTGGCGTAAATTCTTATTCTGAAAATCTAGGTGCTTGTTCACATACAAACCACACTTGTTCGCGTTTTAAAATTTCATTATCCCATTGATCCATCCCGTGAAAATAAATTGCCGATACACACTCGCGCGTTTCACGTTTTGTTTTATCGCCTTTTAAACGGTTCTTTTCAGATTCAATAGATGATTGGTATGCTGAGTCTACTAACAATATTGATGTGATAAGACGTGTGGAGAATATCAACATTGCTGAGTTTACTGGTTCTACCACACACCAACACAAGCAGGTTAGATTTTATAAGTGACATTTATTTCCTTTAGACTCATACTTTAACTGATTTATTTGAAGCTGTTGATTAATTTGTTAGCTTATTATTAACTCTGCTATGACTACGGAAACCTTTTTTTTCGAATCATGAATAAAAAATGATTTTCGGATTTGCAGTGAAAATGATAATCTGCTGTACCAAATTTACTTATACCAATCTTTTCCGTACTCCCACAAAATTGTACCACAGCAACTGGGTTCCAGACTTAAAAGATTAAATTCCTGTAGAAAAACCTCTGTCATAATCCTTCGCACAGCCCCATAGCCCCTATATATTGGTAAAATTCTCATACACAAAAACGTTTAATATTCTCTTCAGCCTCTTAGGATCTGGTCATTGCTGCTATTAGAGTCAGCATATTGGATCTGGTCATTCATCAGCCTCATTTTGAAATACCATCATGACATTTTATGTAGTATATTAAATATGAATTTTAACAAGTTATTACTGAATGAAGACAAAAGATTTCTATTCCTTGTATTTATTGCTTTTATGGACTTATTGCTATATATTTCGCCGAAGCTAAGATTGTTCGATTATCATGGTGCCTCGAAAGCCAAGTTCAAAATCCTTTCGAGTCGAAAGGATCCTATAATAATCTTCTCTGTGTATCATTAGTCCAGGAATATACTCCTCAGACGTTCCAAAGATTCAGATCACCGCTGATTGTCATTGAAAAGGAATTGCCAGGTGAGGGTTGAGCAATGAGACTAACGAGCTTGAGCACGCAAAGTGATCCATGGAGGATATTTCAATCATTTTCTCTGGGCTGTTTCCCTAATTTCAAGGCAGCTGGTACACAAGGAACCAAGAAATTAGAAAACAGCCTTACTTTTCTATGAGAACTAAATATATATATTATATACCTTTTGTTTTCGCCCTCTTGAAAAGGGTCTTAATTATAAAATATTTACGGTACATTCGTGAGCTGATTGTCATTGAAAAGGAATTGCCAGGTGAGGGTTGAGAAATGAGACTAACGAGCTTGAGCACGCAAAGTGAACCATGGAGCATATTTCAATAATTTTCTCTGGACTGTTTCCCTAATTTCAAGGCAGCTGGTACACAAGGAGCCAAGAAAACAGTCTTACTTATTCTAGTCAAACTGTTTCAATAATCTTTTCTGTAAAAATCATCGAGTCTTGACCTATGTGGCTTCTTCTTACGCAAGTACTGTTTTGTGTTCCTCTTGCTTCTGATAAAGGTGAATCGATCAATTACTTAATTACCCGCCAAATAGAATTTATTTTTCCAGTTTGGACTATACTTCTATTTTATGTCAGAAAAATAACGGCGTAAATTCGTATAAATCAGATTCTACTCAAGATTTTTATTGTCAGATATCTCCAATAATTATATTCTAATAACAATGCTTCTCTGGTTCAGATATTTCCTGCAACATCGAGGAGAAAAATGGTTTCCTAAAGAACGTTTGCAATTTCGATAGCTACTATACAGAGTATAAATGTTGGAATACAGATGAATTCTACGTACATTATCATGGAAGCACATTTTTTATTGGACAAATCTGTTCACAAGACCCATCATTCTACCAGGCTTGCGATAAAAACTTGGTGGGTACGATAACCAACGACGAGCTTCTCTGTGGAACTTCCTTATGCAAAGTTAACGGGCTAGGCTTCACATATTATATCATTCCACTGTCATTTATCAAAGAATTCGGCTATCTTTGTAACGGTCGGTTTGACTGTGACAACACTAAGAAAGACGAAGAAGGATGTGAGGATTATGAAATGACCACCATGCCTAGCGGAGCCGTGGTTCCTTCTAAAGATATCTGTGATGATGAATGTGATATTTTCAAATGTGAGGATGAAAGTATCTGTAATGGCTACAAATATGGTCTATATTGCATGTTGCGTGATGGAGGGTTTCAATACATACCTCCAATACACATATGCACTGCATACAGTTATTGTGAAAATGGGGAAGATCAGGCTAACTGTACCATCACAGATACGGCACAGACCTGCAGAAAGCCACACGGGGGGCCGGGGAATATTGCACCATTACATAACTTCACCAGGTGTTCTCCAGTTATTAAAGCAGAGACCCACAGCTACAGCCACTACTGCGCTTACGATAATATAACTCCAAGCCAAACCAACTGCTCTGACCCGTCCAGAGTTGGAGTTACTTGTAATGTGAATGGATATAGATCCACTCTCTCTAAATATTTGATTTGTCTAGATGAAACCATCAAGGCTTGTGATGATCAAATAGAAAGCAAATGCTTCTCCACTAATACCTGTAAAATACACAAGCACCTCATGTGTAATGATAAGTCGGACTGTGAAGATGGGTCTGATGAAAGTCACTCCACGTGTCTCTGTACAACAGAAGCCACTTGCAAGAGACGGGTTGGGAAATACGGAAATCTCCCAATACCGATATCTTGGTTAGGAGATGGGGTGAAGGACTGCGAGGATGGTGCGGATGAAACTGCAGTTTATGTTTCTAGCAGGGAGGTAGGATGTAAAAATACTTTTGTCTGTCCTTGGGGCAACCCAGGATATGTAAAGCTGAGTGACCTCTGTGATGGAACTGAAACCTGCGGAAATGAGAACAAAATCTGTTCGATTTCCCGCAGTTCCCAAGAAATCGCAACATCTGTGCCGACAACAAATAAAGGCCTCGTCAAAAGACTTTCGTACTGCCTAAAAGGTCTAAGAAGTTTGGAAAAACAAAAAGATAGCTGCATAGAAGAACATCACATCTACCCAGACCATGATTACTTTGGGGTGGACACAAGAACATTAGTGTTTCTTCCAAAAAGTAAGCAGTCTTGTGATAACCTATACGGAGAGAACTATGTGTACACAAGTTGCACTGACAGATGCTCCAGTGCCTCTTGTCCGCTAAGAAACATTCCGAGATATGAAGTTTGTCCTGAACAATTTCCAAACAGAGTGGGCACTATAACAAACGGAGAATACCTAGCTTTTTTCACGAAGTCCTACGGCAATATCTACACTAATAGATATTTCGTATGTGACAATCAGAAAAAGTGCTTAGATTATTCAAAAGTCTGTGACCTTGTTCACGACTGTGACGACAATTCCGACGAAATAAACTGCACAAACCATTTCCAGTGCCAAAATTCCAAAAATCTCATACCCACAACAAAGAAATGCGACGGACATTTCGATTGTCTGGATCTTTCAGATGAGTGCAATGAACAATGTTCAAAGCAAATCCTCGAGAGTGTATTACTGAAAGGGATCTCATGGTTAATTGGTACTCTAGCAGTTTTTTCAAACCTGATAATCATAACCAAAAGTCTGGGAACGTTAAAACGTTGCAGGACCTCAGTTGCGTTGATAAACAGGCTTTTGATCATTTTGATCGCATCAGGGGATTTGTTGGTAGGATGCTATCTTTTCATCATTGCTACTTACGATGGAATCGTCCTCAGAGGAGTTATTGCTTCAATCAGATCACATGGATTACAAGCCTCAAGTGCTCGGCAGTTGGTATTTCCAGCACCATCGGATCTCAGATTTCACTTTTCGCCATGACAGGGCTAAGTATGGTCAGAGTACATGGCATTTGGAATTCTATAAGGGTACCAGGTGAGGTCACCATGGCCAAATCTTTAAAGGTTGCAGCAGTTATGTTCTCTTTGACCCAAGGCGCGGCAGTAGTCGCAGTTATCCCGATCATCAAGAAGTTCGAAGATTTCTTCGTCAATGGAGTGAAGTTCCTAGATGAGCTGAAGATCTTCATTGGAACACCGAACAAGAAAAAGATCTTTGAAGTCATTAAGGCATACTACGGAAGGGCCAAAGAAGCGACCTTAAAGTGGGATATGCTCATCAAAATGGCTAAAAACATGTTTTCACATGATTATGATCACAATGACCATACGGATAAAGTAACCAAAGTTGAATTCTATGGAAATGACGGAGTTTGTTTATTCAAATATTTTGTCCAAAATGATGACCCTCAAAGATCATTCGTTTGGGGCATCTTAGCGCTCAATTTCGTCTGCTTTCTATTCATTTCCCTTTCATATCTTCTCATTGGAGTAGCATCTCGAAGGTCATCACAAAGAGTGTCAGGGTCAGAAAATCGGCAAATATCCCAACGGAATAGGCGTATGAATCAGAAAATAGCGATCATAATAGTCACTGACTTTTTGTGCTGGATTCCCTTTATCGTGATATGTGTCCTCCACTCAGTGAATGTCCTGGATGCAACACCCTGGTACAGTGTGTTCTCCATGGTCATTCTTCCGTTAAATTCTGTGATCAACCCGCTCCTTTACGATGATACAATAACTGAGGCGATGAAAAGCCCTCTACGGCAACTATCCTCCAGACTTTCAAGATCTACAATATGCCAACGAGCTCGGAGATGGTTGTATCCAGTACCGACAGAAACGGTTGAGTTAGAGCGTATTGAAGTGAGACAAGGTAATGTAACAACAGGAACGGCTCCACAACCAACATGTCTGCTTGTAACAGCTGATGAAGAAGTGAGACAAGGTAATGTAACAACAGAAACAGCCCCACAACCAACATGTCTGCTTGTAACAGCTGATGAAGAAGTGAGACAAGGTAATGTAACAACAGGAAAGGCTCCACAACCAATATGTCTGCTTGTAACAGCTGATGAAGAAGTGAGACAAGGTAATGTAACAACAGGAAAGGCTCCACAACCAACATGTCTGCTTGTAACAGCTGATGAAGAAATGAGACAAGGTAATGTAACAACAGGAACGGCTCCACAACCAACATGTCTGCTTGTAACAGCTGATGAAGAAGTGAGACAAGGTAATGTAACAACAGGAACGGCTCCACAACCAACATGTCTGCTTGTAACAGCTGATGAAGAAGTGAGACAAGGTAATGTAACAACAGGAACGGCTCCACAACCAACATGTCTGCTTGTAACAGCTGATGAAGAAATGAGACAAGGTAATGTAACAACAGGAACGGCTCCACAACCAACATGTCTACTTGTAACAGCTGATGAAGAAGTGAGACAAGGTAATGTAACAACAGGAACGGCTCCACTACCAACATGTCTGCTTGTAACAGCTGATGAAGAAGTGAGACAAGGTAATGTAACAACAGAAACAGCCCCACAACCAACATGTCTGCTTGTAACAGCTGATGAAGAAGTGAGACAAGGTAATGTAACAACAGAAACAGCCCCACAACCAACATGTCTGCTTGTAACAGCTGATGAAGAAGTGAGACAAGGTAATGTAACAACAGAAACAGCTCCACAACAAACATGTCTGCTTGTAACAGCTGATGAAGAAGTGAGACAAGGTAATGTAACAACAGAAACAGCCCCACAACCAACATGTCTGCTTGTAACAGCTGATGAAGAAGTGAGACAAGGTAATGTAACAACAGGAACGGCCCCACAACCAACATGTTTGCTTCTAACAGCTGATGAAGAAGTGAGACAAGGTAATGTAACAACAGAAACGGCTCCACAACCAACATGTCTGCTTGTAACAGCTGATGAAGAAGTGAGACAAGGTAATGTAACAACAGGAAAGGCTCCACAACCAACATGTCTGCTTGTAACAGCTGATGAAGAAGTGAGACAAGGTAATGTAACAACAGGAAAGGCTCCACAACCAACATGTCTGCTTGTAACAGCTGATGAAGAAGTGAGACAAGGTAACACTAACAAGAGCGAGTAAAGGTTACAAGGTTGAATCACATCAACCTTGAAGCGATTTTCCAACGAGACTAGAAGCGGTTCCAGCAAGACTAGAAGCGGTTCCAGCAAGACTAGAAGCGGTTCCAGCAAGACTAGAAGCGGTTCCAGCAAGACTGGAGATATTATAAGAAACAATGATCCCATATCTAGGGGGAACTGACGGTAACGCGACTCCTGTCCGACAGCACTATTCTTTGTGTTTGAGGTGATATCTCAAATTTGGCAAATTCACCCAAACTTGCACAGATTATTCGTCTTAAAGCTATCTTACTATCTGGAAAGTATCAAGAATCGTATGGTAGGATCCGACATAAACTATTGTTCGAAAAACCTATTTTCGGAGGAGTCGGACAGGAGTCACCCAATTTGACAGGGGTAGTGTGCTACGTTAGCAAAATGTAAGCTCTAAATAAAAAAGGGTGACCGACAACTGAACCCAATTGAACCTAGTTCCCACGCAGTTAACGAGTACCCAATCAGCTTAAATCCCAAAACGAAATTGGGTTCAGTTGTCCGGTAGTGGATTGAAATAACAGACAATCGTACTAAAGAGGAATTACAAGCCACATATTTAAAAAGAGTCCAGGCCTATTAGTTGTAAATTGACTAATTTTACTTTAAACTTTAGCTCATTCGCTCATTGTGATTATCTGAGATTTTTTGGAGTAAATATTCACTCTCCAGATTATAATTATAATCAGCTAGGTTTTATCTTTCGTAGAGACGAGTGTGTTTAAAATATGTTGGAATTTGATTGGATAATCGCTGTATCGTTTGAAAACAGTCTTGCATCACCTCCCAAACGAAACCAATATCTGTGTATTATGATATTGTGTAATTTAGTTATAATATTGTGTAATTTAATTGTATTGTGTGATTAAATTGTATTGCTGACTATTATTTCAGAATACACTATATCGGAATATGTGTATCAGAATACTTGTAATCAATGTTGACAAATTAACAAATGATTTAATCTACTGTATCATTTCATATTTACCAAAGTCAGAAAGTAATGCATTAATTAAGAGATATTATAATCTCGTTCAGGGTACTCTAAATATACTAACTTTAATTGGTTGATGCTACTTAGACTTTCTAAATATTTATTCATCAAAAGTACGATCATCATGATCTCACCGATGATCTACATTCTACATTCACCTACATTCTACAGTCGTGTCAAAATCATTTGGCACCTGAACTATATTTTGAGAGCGGCAAATCAAAGTGCTGGCAGACGCCGACCACATCTGACCACACTATATTTACGGTATATTTGCAAGGTCGCCACGTCAGTGTGGTATGAGTAGAATATACTGAATCTCCACACATTTGACATTGACAGTACTATCCGACATGTAATATAATAATCAGCTACTACTTATTTTCATACACAAACTAGTCACAGTATCAATATTTCAATTTAAACGTTGCTATTATATTAAATTTAACATCCAGATGTCCCGGACATAACTACCTGTCATCAAGTACCTTACTTTTAGTTACATTACATTGTTTTTAGTTAATGGGTCACTATGACTGGGCGGCACTGGTGACCTGGTGTGTTCAACTTCATCTTACCCGGATATATAATACTCATCAGTTGAGAATGACTTATAGTCCAAAGTTTGGTTGAAACTTAAAAAATGATAATATGGTTGACTGGGCACTATATTGCGGCGTGAATATACGTGATCTACGTGAAATGTGGTATTTTTAGAATTTTAAGTTTAACTAATTGGATAGGTATGTAGACTTTCTATAGTTGATAATGTATGATTTTTAAATAATGTATCAAATTTCAGTACCTCGGCGACATGATGACAAAGGGAACGACTGTCGAGTACAGTTATCTTATCGGTGAGATTTAATTACCATTCAATTTGTAACTGTGTTTTCTGCGATATTATAATCATCATGTGTTCTCTATACTTTGAAAACATTATTTTTGGGACCCTAAAATCGGGGTAAAATTTGTGCCGCGAAATTGATAACTCATTTATTATATATATTGGTTCATTCAAATTAGCGAAAATTGAAACTGCGAAAATGATCCGACTTTAGAAATCCGCGAAAATGAGTGCCTGTGAAAATACCTGGTTTTAAATCACATAATGCCAAGATGCTGCCGCGAAATCATTGAGATCGTGAGATAGCGGCATTTCACAGGCAATTTTGGCGGCAGTTTACAAGCAATATTTTTGACTCATCATGTTAAGTCAGAAATATTGAGCTTACAATTTTCCCAGACAAATTCCGAAGGAAGCATTTCATAGGTGTCATAGAGGTATCACACAAGTGATGGTGTTTATGCCTATTTGGAAATAAATTATAAACTTTACCATTGCTTCCGGGGGAGCCATAAAGTCAGAGTGTGAGATCACAGCTGATGAGCTGATGAAATGACTGGTGTGACTGGTGTGCTGGTGTGACCACATGGCATGCAAACTGCAATACGATAAACCTTCTGACAATAATTTTGCACTTTATCTTCTGAAACACGTACAGTTTAGCATGCTGGGTAGTTTGTAACATATAATATGGAAAATATGGAAAATATGGGCTTTCTCATAATAAAATCATGATGAAAACATCTGAGGTAACATTCCTGTCACTTTTAATCCTGGTCTAACAGAGAGAGAGAGAGAGAGAGAGGCTATTGAAGGGTAAGCGAACCCTCGTTCTTTTCTCTCACCAACCTTTTTACACACCGTGCGATAAAACATGCACTAAAACATGCACTAAAACATGCACTAAAACATGCATTAAAACATGCATTAAATCATGTATTTACAGGGTCCCTGAACATTGTACAGAATTGTGTGTTTTACGAGAAGTACAGTCCCAAACACATGACAGGTTACGCTACCACCACTGAAGTGTCAATAAGGTTTGTTAGTGATCTCTTTAACTTTAACTTTAACTTTAACTTTAACTTTAACTTTATCTTTCACTTTAACTTTAACTTAAACTTTAACTTTAACTTTATCTTTCACTTTAACTTTAACTTTAACTTTAACTTTCACTTTCACTTTTTTCACTTTCACTTTCACTTTTACTTTTACTTTCACTTTAACTTTTTTCACTTTCACTTTCACTTTCACTCTCTTCTTAAGTTCACCTGGTAACTTAAGTGAGTTGCAACTTTCTCACACAACTGTTTAAAAGCTGCCACTACTGAACTGTCAGTAAGGTTTGTTAGAGATCTCCTGTTAATCCACCTCTCACTAACCTGCCAAGCTGGAGACGATTAGCGCATGTTATTTTAAAGCTTCTGAAAGATCAACCTGTCGTATTATTGATATGTTCTCATAACCTTCCTACAGCTCTTTTTTAATGTTAATTTCGATTAACACAGAGGTATATTTGAGACTATATTATATTAACTTATTAATTGAAGTTAACTCTTAAGTTAGCCCATTATTTAAGGTGAAGGTCTACGCGAGATAATGAGATAATTTTGATCGAGTATAACAAAATATTCTGCTGAGCGCTTGTTCAGTTCCGATACAGCAACTATTTAAAATAGCTATTCAACTATTTAAAATAGCTATTCAAATGGACAACTTGCATGAATTGAACGAAATTGGAGATATAGCTGCATGCAACAGATGTTGGGAAAATCTGTTTCAAGGGTACAGTTTATTAAGGTATTTTTAAGAATCATTTTTGTCAGTAAGATCCTGTTTTATAATAATTCAACAAAACTTGTACTTACCCGTTACCGTTAACCCTAACCGTTATATATTATATATTATATTAACATTCCCTGTCTCACCTAATGAAACTGATTTATAACAAGTTTTAAAATAAGACTGTTAAAACACACCGTTATAAGTTACGGCGAAAAGTTTGTAAAAATGTTCATATATAATAGTTATTAGATACAGTTATGTAAATGCTGTAGTAACAGGGGGCTAGGTAAATTCACCACTGTTTAAAGCCTTGAAACTTTGAAAGTTATCTGAAATTACAACTGCTTAGTGGGTAAGGTTATATCCTTTTCATTATTCAGGCTCAAGTGAAATGACAAACTCTTGGAACTCCCGGAAAAAATTTATTTCCGGACCAGTTGATGATATAAGCGGCATTTCACACTGTCTTAAAAAACACACCAAAATATTTTTGGTTTGTTTGGACGTATATACTAAAACTGTGATTGAAGTTTAAAACTGTATTTTGTTTAAGAAACTACATCACAGTATCAACTAACTTCTTGTACTTCACCTCATCAGCTCCGCTTCCTCTAATTCCTTATCGATTTCACTTTCACTTTCACTTTCTCTATAATATTATCCTTTTAGGACATCGCTAAATCTGGTGGCCTCAACAATCGATCCTGACAGTACTTATCAGTTTTCAAACAGGGAACTAATCGAACTCAAACTTCATGGTGAGTAAAGTCGTATGGTAATTTCACTTTCTCTTTCACTCTAGCTCTCATCTTAAGTTCACCTGGAAACTTTAGTGAGTTGCAACTTTCTCGAATATACAACTGTTTAGTGTTTAATAATTATGTAACGTGTTAACATTGTCCCTGACTGGAGCTGAAGGTTTAACATTAACTTTTACTCCTCCACTTATACAACTATTATACAACTATTAAACATACATCATTTAAAGAAATACCCTGAAATGTTTGTAATCATCAGGAAAAGATTTGAAACAAGTCAGCTTGGTGATGGAATTTATTGAGCCAGATCTCCGCCCGTCTCTTAATGTTAGTGTTTTCTCATTTTTTTAATTAGTTAATTTACGACTTAATAAATTTATTGTCATCATTGAATAGTTTATCATAAAAATAACAGAAGAATATTTCTAGGGGGGTTGAGCCAGGTCTATTATATTTAAGACGTACAATCAACAATGTACATGATGTATAATGTGTGTTTATTTATCTACGGAACCATTCAGTACTGATTGCTTAGTAGGGATCGTTCACATATTATATTAACCAGATTTTGGCCGTTTCAGAGTTCGAAATGGCTTAAATATAAAAATTAATGGTTTCAGAATCCAAACCCCCCCCCCCCCCCCCCACATACTAACTGTGTAAGATTACAATAAAAAAGTGTGAGATATAAAAAAACAGTAAGATTTTCCGAACCCCCGCCTAGGCTGGCTTACTCAATGATATGTGAACCATCCCTTAAAGTTAAACTTTATTACTTTAAAGACATAACTAGTCCCAGTTTAAACATGACAACTGAATAAATATGTTGCATTTATTTGTGCACTATTGCGTAGGCTCTGGAAGTTTAACACTATAAGTAATAAGTATGATACTGCAAATATTTGTAATAAGTATGATACTGCAAATATTTGTTAATTTATAGGGAATATTTGCACTAAAATTTCATGAGATTTCATGAGATTTTATGAGATTTCATGAGATTTCATGAGATTTCACGAGATTTCAAGAGATTTCATGAGATTTCATGAGATTTCATGAGAATTCATGAGCTTTCATAATACCATCACTAGGCACTTATATAACATATTTTAATTTCACTGTCACTTTTAATTTGCTGCATAACAGCATTCTTTCAATAATTGGAAATTTAGGAATATTTCAATCTAATCGTTTACATACAGTGGTTGTGATGATTTCACGGGTTAAGGAATCGCGGGGATAGTCCGCTTTCAAGGAAACATCTCGTCATTTCTAGTCTGGAACGGACTATAAAGTAGTTTATAACAGACTATAACGTAGTCTAGACAGACTATAATGTAGTCCTTTAAGTTGTCTAGACCACTTACCCTCTCTTTTAGTGTATAGAACTAATGAGCTAGCCCTGAAATACACTCAGATATCTTTTTTTAAACACAGCGAGCTATCCCTTTTTAAAACACAGCGGGAAAGTAGTTTTATTGACCAATCTCCCCTCGTTTAGCAATGAATCTGTCAAGTGACATATTGACAGTAATATTTACCCTTATAGTGTGATGGGTAATATACAAGTTTAGGACACCTTTACTTAACAGCTTAGAGCTGACGGATTAGTTTTAACAGCAGAATCTGCAACAACTAAATTCTTGCATTGCCTAAACAACGTTATGGGCTTTAACAATTACTGAAAGTCTGCTGAGTATCGGATTATATTTTTATTTTCATAATAACCCGTAACCGTATATCGATGGAAATCATTCCAAAACAAATTCAATTTGAACTACATTCCTAAGTTGATCTGTGTTTTAAATCGCTTAGATTGTAAGGGATTTAACCACAGACCAATAAAGTTACAACAATTACATTAACCTTGTTTGGAAGACACCTGGATCAACAGTATCCCGCGGCCCCTTTTGACAAAACGTTTTGAATCGTTCAGCGCAATTATCGATTTAGTTTCCACGGAGCATTATAGCTGTGTTTCAGGTGGAATCTAAATGTTTAGTGTAGGTTGTGTGTATAAATAAAGTTGGTATAACGAGTAAATATAATTAGTATTTGAGGAATGTGTTTTAAAGAATCCCTCTCCGTTCTGTTGTGCAGATCAAAAACGGAGAAAATATTCCAGTTTACATACTTCAATCTGATCCAGTAATGGCAGATTATTAACATCGAGTAATGAAAATCACATTTTTGGTGCGACCTAGATGGTGTGATGCTGATTAACCTTAATAATGTAGCTATTTTAAGCGTGGGAAAAAATTGAAATTTTAAAGGCTAAATTTGAGAAATAACATACTATATTGCATTCCTAGGAGTTTACAGCCTGTAGGTACCCAGCTATAGCACTTTAAATAAACATGACAATATCTTTTCTCGATATTCAAAAATAAGACTGATTTATCTAACATAGATAGACTGTCCAGGAATGCTTAGTATTTGTATTATGACTAATTAATCAAAAGCTGACCCGATAAAACTGACCGAACTCCGTTTAGTTATACTTATACAATCACAATTACTGGTCGGCCGATTCGGGACATTTCTGATGTGGTCATGAACTCTCCAATCGTCTAAAATACTTAACAAATATTTAAGAAAGCTCAAACTATCCTCAATTTTAATGAGCTTGTCCTGTTTTAAAATTATGTTTTGTTGCAATAAACTATTTTAGAACTTCTGAATCTAATTTAAAAACGGAAATGAAATTATGTTAAACTTACAGCCCCCTCTTTTATCGGACCATCTATATTTATTTTAACCGACTGACCAAAATCTTGAGTCTGAACTAACAACATACAGATTATGATGGTATATTATCATAATATTATGATACTAGTGTAACCCGGCCTTCGGCCGGGATTTCACTGCCGCAGTTAAAAAGGGTAGGAGTAATTACCCGCTGAGTCAAAACCCGCATTAGGTGACCCAATAGTTTCTTAAACAATAATCTCATAATCAGTTATTTTTTGTGGATAATTAAGTCATTATTAGCCATGAGGCACCACATTCCATGATCATAAGGTCTGAACACCGAGTGTTACACCTCATCACTCCCGTCTTGAACCGCTTTCTATTTTTATTTAAATCGTTATAGAAATTAACCCTTGTTAACTCCGCACCACACCCCCATATTATATTTGAAAACACGCACAACATTGTCGTTTGAACTCTCTCTCTCTCTCTCTCTGCAGTCCAAACAGACCCCAAACACTAACAGTCCCCCTCCCCTAATAAGCTTATGGTATTACATTACAGCGAATCTTCCCGGGCTAACGCAATTATGACGCTATACTTAAATGCAGCTACATATTATACAGTAATGAGATATAGAGAGCAAGCCCCGTAACTCTTGCCGTTCTGCTCAAGCCATTTTATGCAACATTTGTGGTACAAAACCGTCAATTAAACCACTTACCACCGGCCGACTTTTAAAAAATTTGCTTATGGGCTTCATCAGAGTTTTGTCGGCACTATACCGAAAAACCCAGTCCCGTAACTCACACCGTTTTTTTTGTATAACCGTTCGGAAATTACACACAGACAGACAGACACACACACACATTCTGGTTGTTATTAAGTTGATACGATATTCATTTCATGTAATGAGAAATTGATGTTATTATTTATGAATAGTTAATAATCATTAATAAATCACTGATGTATTTATAGTTTTTAACCTGAGGATATTTCAGTTTGAAGAGTCAGGGGAAACTCTCAGAGAGTTAATACTTAACGGGTACGACAGTACTTCAACAGAGATCCTAAAAACGTGGCTTTATTTTGTAAGTTTATTTCTAATTTACCGGATCATTGGTAATGTTTGATGATATGCTACTTGACGACGTATTGTCAAGTATCAATGACTTGATGCATCCACAGTAATGTTAATAGTATTTAAGGAATTTTCTTAAGAATCTTGTTACGGGGATTGCTTTACATAATAACTATAATGCAACTTCAATAAGTTAATTTAGTCACCGTATAACTTTAATATTGATACTTTATAGAATTAGATGTGGATACTCGTGGGGAGGTGATGCACATATTTTGTTTACTTTAATAACTTAAGTACCTGTTCAGCACAAGAGGGAAGTGGTGCACATTTTGTATTATTTCACAAATATGGGGGGGGGGGGGGGGGGGGGGGGGGGGGGGGGATCAGGTACCAAGTGCCGTACGTGACGTCGACTAAGTGCAGTTTTGGAATTTACAAAAAGGACCCACCCAGTACCCACCCCCTTCACGGTACTAACTGCTTTTTCGGATGATATTTAGGACACCCACCCCCTTTTGCTGGCATTTGCGGTACTAAATGTTGAGAAATCACGGTACTAACTGTGTCTTGTAAATAAGATACGCACCCAGAAATTGCTGTAAACAGCTCATTAAACATTGGGAAATGGGCAAATTATACCCACTATTTAGTAGGGGTTTTGTTTTAATGTAGTTGAATTAAATAAAAAGTTACAAAAAAGAGAGCAAATTTTTAAAAACCCAAAAAAAGGGGAAAAACCTCAAAACCAAAAAAAACCCATTCCCAAAATTGAAATTTGTGGTAAAATGATTTTTTTGGGGGTTAAACACCCCCCTTAGTACCTTGAAACTGATTTTATGGGAAATGAGCAGCAGACCCACCACTCAGTACTCAAGTACTAACTGCGTTTTGGAAGAAAATATGACCCGCCCACCCAACGTCACGTCCGATTCTGACCTTATGATCCCCCCCCCCCCCCTGGTACCTCACCTCGAGAATCCACATTTATTAAGGTTATAATACTACTACAAGTATAATACTACTCAAGTCGTTATAATAAGCGTTGAGGTTCTTTTCAATATCCAGGCGTTGAGCCGCAATCAACTTTTATAGATAGTTCACACACCTGGGACGATTATAAATTCAGTAAATCTAATCATTGATAATCTTTGCAAAATAAGATAATTCCCTATCAAGAATTTTTGGCATGAACTTTATAAACGTCTCGATATTAACCTTAAAATGGAGCTCGAAAATAGATCTTGTAATTACTGAATCCCTGTGAGTTCAGGGTAGGCGAGTTTACTTAGATCAAATCATCTTATTAGTGAACTAAATTGTACCATGGCAACGTACAAATTACAAAGTTCGTTTATTCACCCTATTGAGATGATCAGTTCTGAACTTAGAGTTTATCTATAATAAAGTAGTGTGATGACGTCACGTTTTGTGATGACGTCACGTAGTGTGATGACGTCACGTGGTGTGATAACGTCACGTGTCACTGATTATTTCATGTTAGAATTATCTATTATTCTTAGTTAATGAAACTTTCTCAGTAGTCAGTAGCTCAATAAATCAACTTGGTGATATTGGCATATTTTTCAGATTCGTAATATTTATGTTGGGGTTGGATCAGACGAAGGAAGACAAGAATTTGCTCGAGTGAGGGACGTGAAGTTACTGTAAGCACATTATAATAAAGTCACGTGGTTTTGTGATTTATCACGTGATATTATAATCTTGTAATGCCTTCATAGTTCACCTTATGTGTTGTGATGACACTGCAGGGCCCTTTTTTTGTAAAAATATAAAACTTCCCAACTCTAATTTCACCCCCCCCCCCCCCCCCCTCCAATTACAAAACTTCCAATTACAAAACTTTCAGCCCATGGTTTATCGACGCAGCAAACGTAAACGGAACAGCTCAACTCCACTTACTGGCTCACAACTCAATTAAATCACTGAGAGCCCTGAAACTTACCGAACGGTTTATCGGTTCCAAACAGTTCACCACCGAGCCCCCTACCAGGATGCTGAAGTGGTTATTGGTGAGAGAATTTAGATTTAATTTATCGGATTTTGATTTATCTTAGTTAAACATGCTCGGTTTTAACTGATCACGTGTGAAAACAAATGTCACAACATTACCACTCCTCTGTAAGTGAAGGGCACGGAACACTCCATCACATACCTCTACACTCTACAACATGGTGGTGGTGATGATTAGTTTGGTGATAAGGGCGGCAACAGCCCAGTTACCAGGGGTGGATATGTGTCCTTATATCATACCTTATAGCTTATGCTATATATTGTATCTGTGTAGTAGTTAGAATTTAGATATTATATGTTATGTTAGTGGTATCTGGACATTTATCAATTACTCATTCATCATCACCTATACAATTACAGACTATTATATGCGAAATGTTATGATATTTAGTTCCGCTCCTTTCAGAGAGAGAGAAAGAGAGAAAGAGAGAAAGAGAGAGAGAAAGAGGGAGAGAGAGAGAGAGAGAGAGAGAGAGAGAGAGAGAGAGAGAGAGAGAGAGAGAGAGAGAGAGAGAGAGAGAGAGAGAGAGAGAGAGAGAGAGAGAGAGAGAGAGAGAGAGAATCCACATTCCATGAATCGTAGTGCAGGGTTACCTAAAAGTGTAAATTGGTTCTTTAACCCTGGCTGTAACAATAACCCTGACTTGCGGATTTTAGAGAAAACTACAGCCTATTTCAGATCATCGCTAAAAATACCGCTTATTAAATATGAAGAGTCACTGTCTTGAACTCTAAATGTTTAAAACCTTGTATTTTTCAGAAAACATGCGAGATTGATAGGTATGAAAAGTCGTGTGCCCTGGCTGTCGCGTCATCAGCTACCAGCACCTATCTTGCTCAGAACGGCAGAAGTAACATTGTAAGTTTTTTCTGCACAGTTGCACACCGCATAAGAAAAAACTGAAAAGAGTTGATTCGAATTAGCAGTAGATCCCTAAAAAATACGCCTTTCATCCCTTAATAAACGTATCGCGCGAATCGATTTTGCTGTTAAGGGTAAATTTGTTTCATTCAGTGTGATGCGCGCCGCGCGGTTAATTAGTTTAAATTACGCTTTGATATTAGATTTTGCACATGTGTACTCGATTTTCCATGTGTTATGCAAATATTGATGCACCTGCAAAATCAGCTCACATACGAAATCTGGATGCAACATGTTTACGACATTCAGATCGCGATAACTTAACTTAGCTCTGATCTTAGTAATCTAATCACCGAGAATTCCTCAGGTTACCGATATATTTGAGTTCCTGACGACACACATAACGAACAGTGTCGAGTTAGAGGAGAAGGTATTCTATGTAACGACTCTCGGAAACATGAAACTACCTGAGGCTACCAGATACTTACTGGACTTGGCACTTGATGGTTTGGAAACATATACTTAAACATTTTATAGTTTGTAGCGTGCAGATCTTGCTTATTATTATCCTGTTTCGAGGTAAAAACACGTACCTTGAACTCTGTAACAACAAATGCTCCAATCAGATAAGACACCAGAAGTGAGAAAAGCAGCTGTAGAGACTCTACATTTCCACAGTCCCAGCGAAGTTACTTTCGAGGTTTATAGTAGTGTTAGCTTGTTTTAGATAGGTGTGATGACGTCACGCCTATCTAAAACAAGATAACAGGGCCCTGTTAGCTTGTTTTAGATAGTACCCATTCTTCGTCCCCGTAGAACAACATCCAAATCTAAAAAGGAGGATGTGTTAATTGATAATTGTTCAAAGAGATTTTTATGATTCATTTGTCTTATCTTTTAACGACAAGCCTTTGGGACAAGAGGCGCTTAAGACAATAGATTGCAATGTTTGAAATGTCAACAAAAAATCCAATAAAGTAATTCGCAGGACAGATTAGGACTCCTGGACAAAGCCCTGGAAGAAGATAACTACGGAGCTCCAGCCCTTCATTACGTGCTCTCCTCCTCCCCTCACCACACTCTCCACCAACTCATACAGTCAGTTCATAGTTAATTAACTCAATTAATTAATAATTTGATTCAGTTAATTAATAATTCAGCTAATGTTCCTGCGCCGCTACAAATATTTGATCAAATTAGATCCAGTTAATGACATGTGAGATCACTGAAGAAAAAAACAACTGTATCATCCCAGTTAACAACATCTCAGTTTGATGTGTATCCTTAGTTGATACCTCCTTCTCAAACATAATCTTTATCTAACAACAGGTAATCCACACTTTCTGCTTTCATCTCAGGTACACATCATCTCGTATCTGCAGCGAACAAACCCACCATCTCTCTAGATTCTTCCTGAAAACTCTCGGCTCACTCAGCGACTCTAGGACTGATTCCGTCAGGTTCGTACAATAGTTAGCTGGACGATTCTATAAATTAATAGACGAAATGTTGGTCACGATTTAAAATAATTGCTTAATGTTTAGATTTTAAGTATCAGTTTAGCAGATTTAAGTAGTAAATTTAAAAATATGTAGAATTTTTTGTGAGAGACGGCCTGTGAAATGAGTTTATGAGATAAATAAATTAACCCTTCAGTTAAATAGTTTTAATTAGGTATTCATACGAATAATTGATATATTGGTTAATTGGTTTCTTAACAGGGCCAACATTGTACGAGATGAGTTGATTAGACTAAGATCTGACACAACATGTAGACTCTGCGCTGACTTGTCCGCTGAATCAGAGTATGATAGCATCGCACGTGACTATATATTTGGTAGGTAACGGCTTTAAGGGTACACAAAATTAACAAAGCAATCTTTCTTATTATTTGCGATATTTTTTCATCGTTTAACAAAATGTTTTCCATCTTCTTGCTGTTTCCTTCTTCCATAATAATGCTAAGCTCTACCAATAAATTTATAATTAAAATTGAAAATATGTGAAATAATGATCCTTGTTTCTAGGAAGCGCCATCTCGGGAGCAGAATTAGAGTTTGAGAGGTTTGGTGGAAATGGTATCAGTGGTGGTTCTACTAAATTGTCTCTAAAGTTTCTAGAGGCTTTTGGTCTTAATACCGACATTGTGCAGGTAAAATTGATAACTTTGAGGCAGAGTCCAATTACAAAAAACTGTGCTTTACTATCGGTCAATATACTTATGTGCAAGTCTAATATAAATAGAATCACTAATCATAAGTTTAAATTGAGATAAGATATATTTCGTCCTGTTAAACATTTGTAAACTTTCAGACATCTTTGGACCTACCGACAGTTGAAAACTTCTTAAACGATCTGGAGCAAGGTCAACTCAACATTGCAGTGAACGGACAACGGATAAAATCTACTCCCTTTAAGGTAATTTACGTAATTTACGTGATTCACGTAATTTAGGTAATTCACGTAAATTACGTTAATGTTACGGGCATTATTCAGAACAACCTATAAAAGGAAAAGTAACCTACGTCGAATGTTGCAGGTCAAGATTAAAAACTGGCAATCAGACTGACCTAAAGCCTTAGCTGAATTTAAATATCATTCACAGACGTAGCTTGTCTTTAAACAAAACTTATTAAGAACTTCATTGTTGATATATTCTTACTAATACATATTTATTAAATATTCTTGTTATCAATAAAAAGTGATAAATATTCCATCAGATTGGAGATATAGAAGAGGTAGACACGAATATTCTGTTATCTGATATCACTGTTCTTATCCCCACTCTGTCTGGTCTTCCTTTATCTTACTCAGTCGGAGGTTAACAATTAAATAATCAAATAATTAATACTCTTACGGATAATTGAATGCAAATAAAGAGTACCATAATTAATTATGGGTTTTGCTCATAGTCCCTTCGTGCTGCTTCTCTGCTGTTTATGATCCGCCAGAAGAATACACCGGACATTTTAAGCAAGATATCTCCGGCCAACCCTCAACAATTAAATAATTAAAAATTAAATAATTAAATAATTAAATAATTAAATAATTAAATAATTAAATAATTAAATAATTAAATAATTAAATAATTAAATAATTAAATAATTAAATAATTAAATAATTAAATAATTAAATAATTAAATAATTAAATAATTAAATAATTAAATAATTAAATAATTAAATAATTAAATGATTAAATGATTAAATGATTAAATGATTAAATGATTAAATGATTAAATAATTAAATAATTAAATAATTAAATAATTAAATAATTAAATAATTAAATAATTAAATAATTAAATAATTAAATAATTAAATAATTAAATAATTAAACAATTAAACAATTAAACAATTAAATAATTAAATAATTAAATAATTAAATAATTAAATAATTAAATAATTAAATAATTAAATAATTAAATAATTAAATAATTAAATAATTAAATAATTAAATAATTAAATAATTAAATAATTAAATAATTAAATAATTAAATAATTAAATAATTAAATAATTAAATAATTAAATAATTAAATAATTAAATAATTAAATAATTAAATAATTAAATAATTAAATAATTAAATAATTAAATAATTAAATAATTAAATAATTAAATAATTCTCGATAATCCCAGGAAGTTTAAGAACGACGAGTGCTGTGAGATCTGATCAGTTCCCTAAAATAACATTAGATAATGATGTGGGCATTTACCTAGAGACAGGTTTCAAGTTATCCGGAGCTGGACTCGGCTGGGCCACTAAAACAGAGTTCCATACTGAGTACCAGGTTTTTAATTAATCAATTAATTAATTATTTAATTTGCGGTTAATTTATTCTCACGATTGTTTTTTGTTAAAAACTGCATATTTTGCCGCTTTTGCTCATAATATATTCCTGAATTAAGTGTTAGGCAACTGTTCGCTTTAAGAAATAACTCTGTTTACATTTTGACTACGTGATCATAATTTTTGCTAACCTACTTCATTTTCCCAGGACGTACTTGAGTTCAAGGATGACATATCCAATAAACACACAATCGTTGAAAATCTATCTTTTAAAACTGGTTAGAAATGTTTTCTAGCTTTTACTCAGAATAAAAGGGCCATTTATGATATATATAATCAGCTTCATAATTTACTAACTAAGACAAAACACTAATGTGGGAATATAATTAATAAATAATAATCAGATAATCACACTTCCTCACTCCCCAGATTCCACCCTACCCAGTGAGTGGTCCTCAGTAGCTGACATTGCCCACTTCTTCAAACCCATGGTCTTTCTTAACTCGAGTTTCCTTACTACCCCTGATCTGGAGTCAACTAGTGATGCGCCCTTGTGTGAGGTATGTGTTTGTGCTGTGTGCTGTGTGCTGTGTGCTGTGTGCTGTGTGCTATGTGCCGTGTGCTGTGTGCTTTGTGCTGTGTGCTGTGTGCTGTGTGCTATGTGCTGTGTGCTGTGTGCTGTGTGCTGTGTGCTGTGTGATGTGTGCTGTGTGCTGTGTGCTGTGTGCTGTGTGCTGTGTGCTGTATGCTGTGTGCTGTATGCGGTGTGCTGTGTGTGTGTGATGTGTGATGTGTGCTGTGTGCTGTGTGCTGTGTGCTGTGTGATGTGTGCTGTGTGCTGTGTGCTGTGTGCTGTGTGCTGTGTGCTGTGTGCTGTGTGATGTGTGATGTGTGCTATGTGCTGTGTGCTGTGTGCTGTGTGCTGTGTGCTGTGTGCTGTGTGCTGTGTGCTGTGTGCTGTGTGCTGTGTGCTGCATGTGCTGTGTGCTGGCCTGGCGGCTGTGTTTACTGCAGTATGCCCATGTGCCTTTTTGGGTATCTCCTGATCAATAATCATCTGCTAATTTTCTCTAGATTTTTCAGACGATAGAAGAGGAGATGTTAAGTGTAACATTCGAGAATAACAAAATCCACTCATTTGACCCCAAGAGTTTCCTGGGAAGGTGGATTATTGAAGAAAATTTCTCCAATATTGACCAAAACCATGTCTACGGTTTGTTTAATTTCAAACTATTATATTTATTTAATATTTATATACTTTTTAAATGTAGAATTATTCTCGAAAATGATAAATGTGGGGATGATGATTATGGAGCCGCCATCGTACTCGTCAAATCCGATATAAACTACAAATCAGACAGGAATTTGTAAACTTTAATTTCACAAGCATCTACTCAGCACTAATCCAAAAAACATTGCAGAGCTATCTCAGTTTGATTGTCGCAAAAAACGACCGTTTGAGGGTCTAGTTATTACAGATGAGGAACACAGCACTTATACAGTCCAAGTCCAGGTATAGTAAGAAAGAAACTATGTACCGTTCACATTCCTGCAGGAATATTAACGGTATCTTTTTTCTATCATCTTCAATTTTATTCCCATGATTTTTGCAATCATCAAGTCATTCGGTATAAAACTAAAAGACAGGTAACCAGTTTTTCTATTCTGATGATTTTCCGTTTATCAAAGCTTTCTTTGGGAATAGAACTTTGAGTACCTCAATCGTGTCTTGTGCCATCCAGAGTGACCCTGTAGTCATTCAAGAAAAATTCAGTCAAAACAGTGAAATTTGGGTCCCGGAAAGCTGAAATTCGAATATTTCTTACTGGTAGTATAGGACATATTCAAAATTTTCATTGCATCAAATTTTTCTCCGGATATACTGCTTCCAGTACCTTGATGGCGACTTGTGTCACTCTGATCGACCTCACTGATTGGTCACTGGTACAAATTTCAGTCAAAACCGCGAAATTTCGGTCAAGGGGACGGCAGAAAAGCTCTTCAAAAATCTTCCAAAATCTCTTTTTCTATAGGGCCCTTTTCTTATTAAACATACAACAAAAAGTTACATATTGCCATCCAATAGTAGTGTATATTATAACTAATAATAATTAATATATTAATTCTTTCGCTGATCTTTACTAGTTTGAATTAAAAAGGCTACTATAAAAGTTTTAGTGTGATTATTTCAGTCGCTTCACGGAGTGTTGTCTGTGGGAAACCACGAGAGAGTAGAGTCATTAGGAGACTCAACTCAAAGGAACCTCCGTCTCACTGGTAATATTAATTCTCACTTACTTTTACTTACTTACTTACTACTTACTTACTTACTACTTACTTACTTACTACTCACTGGTAATATTAATTCTCACTTACTACTCACTTACTACTCACTTACTTTATACTACTCACTTACTTTTACTTACTTACTTACTACTCACTTACTTTTACTTACTTCGGTAGAAAATTGTCCCATTAATTCAAAAAGCTATCAACAAAAAGACACATAAACCGTCCAATATATGGTTATTGGTTAGGTACTAAGGTCCAAATACTTATGATCCAAAGACCTCTTAACAATGATAATTACAGGGTCACGTGACGACCTCATGTTAGTTCTCGAGAACCTGACTTACTTCACGCCGTCTGATTATTCCGGACCAGAGCTGATAACTTTATCTGTGGAGCAAGACGGGGTTCCTGTTACCGTCAGTCTTATCCTCTACGTTACTGGCACTTGCTTGTAGAAACTTGCTTGTTGGCTCTTGCTTGTAGATACTTGCTAGTAGGCTCTTGCTGGTAGGATATTTCTTGAAGACACTTGCTTGCAGAAAGCTGGGCGTGCTTGAAACTATCCTTTAAACAAAACTTGTTTGTACTGTCTAGTGCGTGGGAATAGCTTATTTAAAAATTGTTTAATTTATGATCTGGAAATCGCCTGTAATTAAATTCTGTAATTTGATATTTTCATAAACCCACTCTGGCACTTTCCTACAATTACCATAATTCGGGAATCACGAGATTGAGATTTGCACTTTTTATATCAAATATTTGAGCAACATTTAAAATCACCCAACATAGAATAATGCATTGACATGGTGATGGACAATCTGAATTTATTTTTAAATTTGATACTTTTTAACAATAATTTATACCAACTCTTACGTTTTCTAGCGATTACATACTGATTATACAAGCGATCTCTTAAACTTAAAAGTTAAATTCAATCAAGGTACAAATTGTATGACCCGGGTTCTGGGTTTTATTATGAAAATTATATCCGATAAAACAGTGATAACGAGCGTTACTTAATGGAAATGCTATTGGTATGAGCATGTAGATTTACTTTGAAGTTTCTTTTGGATTTCCGATTTTGTAAATTTTTATCATGAGTCTTTGTTCAATGTACAGATCATAAACTAAAATCATTGTTTGCCATGATCATATGTATTAATAATATACATAATAACATATTACAATAATACTATTATGTATTCACCTTTTACATTTTAAAGTCGGGATGTTATTTATTTATCAGCGGTTAGAAAGCTAATAGTAAATGCTAGAATCATTATTCAGTACCTCAATTTGGCCTCAGTTAAACTGAAAAATATCAAATATTTTCTTGCTCAGTACAAATTTTGTCGTTCGCACCTAAAAATAAATTGTTCTTCTCTCGTTCGTCCTCTAGAAAGAAGTCCACTTCAAATTCACAGTCTTGAGGAACGTCAGAGGCGGAGAGAGACTCCTCTCTGTCACCGCCTCCCGCCCAATCTAGCTGTTGCACTGGCATCACTGAGAAGAGAGAAACTTTACTTATATGCTAGAGTGGTCTCAAGGTACTGCAATAATTTCACAGTGAAACAGAAAAGTGCAAGATATTATGCTATTATCTGTTAGAGGTTTAATATGGACAATTTGAATTGTAGTAGATTTTAAAGATTTGTACCTAAACTGCAACTTTCAATTTCCTAGAATTATTCTCGATTACCTCACTAACCAAAAGCATCTGTATTCTCTAGTGGAATATCCTGCACTTCAAGTTCAAGTTGACCCGTGCCGAATTCTTGGTCGGAAGTTCCCATTTGCTGTTGTCCCATATCCATTCCTATATCTAAGCTGGTTGCCATTTGCTGTTGTCCCATATCCATTCCTATATCTGAGCTGGTTGCCATTTGCTGTTGTCCCATATCCATTCCTATATCTGAGCTGGTTGCTATTTGCTGTTGTCCCATTTCCGAACCACCTTCATTTGCAGCCAAAGCAGAAGCGGTTGCCATCTGCCAAGCGGACTTAGGTGTTTTCTTTTTCTTATTCTTATACTTCATAAGCAAAGCAGCAAACTTCTTAGAAGCCATGACCGTTGAAACTGCACTTGGAAGCGGCAAAGTGTTCGGTTCGATTTCCTTTCTGGTAGGTTTCTCGATACCTTCCATCATGGCAGCCCCAAAAGCCATCATGTCAGCAATTTGATCATCTAGCTGCTCTTTACTAATGATTGTTTCAGCTTTTTCGCTGATGTTTTCCTTCCTCTTTTTTTCAACTTTTTTCGATTTCTTTTCAATTTCCGGGGGATTCGGTGCTGGCTCCACTTTAAGCGGTCTGATTTCCTCTGTTTTCATAATTTTTGTACTTGTGATATTTGTTTCTTTCTTCTTCTGGCCGTAAGATTTTCCCGCCATAAAGGGAGGGACGAATCCTTGGCTAATGTACGGCCAAGCCTGTTGTGCGATGATGGGGTTTTGTAGCACAGGATCGTTCATGATATCTTGCATGTGAGTATCTGACTTTATTTCAACTAAGCCGCCAGGTAAATTGTTTGGTTTAAAAACATTGTGTTGCGAGCTCTCAGGTTTGAGTCGCTCATTTGTTATTTTTTCTGACATCTGATTCGGTATTCTCAGAGGCATTTGCATCGCTTGATTCATTTGTGTCATAGGGTTCATCTGCATCATAGGGTTCATCTGCATCATAGGGTTCATCTGCATCATAGGGTTCACCATCTGCGTCGTCATCGTAGAATTGTTCAGACTGTCTTGTCCACGAGATGCACAGCAACAATGATGACGACAAGATGTGTTCTTCTCAACCTGAGATTTCAAGGAGAGAGTGAGTTGTTGGAGCTGAGTTGATATTGCCGATGGAGGAGGTTGGATCGTTTGAAATGAGATACGTTTCTGGTCACGCCGCTCTGGGGGAGGAGCTTTCCTTCTGAACCGTTTCCTAAAACGGCGCTTGTTGAACTCTCTTGCAGAGCTTTGTTGAACTTGATAACTAGAACTTCTTGGACGAAAATCAAATCTGTTGGCATTGGATGAGGTAGGTTCCTCACATATTTCGGAAAATCTGTTCAGCTTCTGTAATCGTGCTGTCAAATTTCTTGATTCTGATTCAACAGAAACTTGTCTTACAAATTTTTGATCCTGATCGCGATATATCTCAAAACCGCTATTTTGGTTAGTTTCATACTCAAGAAACTCTTCAAAGGATGAAAGTGATGATAAAGAAGAAATGCTGGTGACTTTTCCCGGCGGGGGTGTATCAGGGGGTGGACCAAGAAAATCTGAAAATTTGTCAGCAAGAACTCTCGTTTGTTCCTCGTCAAGAGAACCATCGCTTGCCGGTTTATCCATGATGTTTTGAATTTTGGTGAGAAATGTGCCCTGGTTAAATTCGGTGGAGTCAGGTGTTTTACAAGAATGCGGAGATCCACTTTTGGAAGACTCTGATGTTGTTTGTTGTTCAGTTTCCTCTGATAGTGGTTTTAAGGCAGGTTTTTGTGCAGGCCCGCTAAAATCACAAACTGCGATATTAGCAGGAATTTGAGGAATCGGATCTTCATCTTGAGGGAAAACATTTAGAGCGTTTTTTACAGCGAAAGGATTGACGGCATCACAAGTACTATACTCCGGTTCGTTTTCCTCGTTGTCTCCATGTTTAGTTTTATTTGTTGTTGGTACACCGCTAGCTATACTTCGAACACTCTCATCTTTTGAATTCCTCGAACTCTCTGAAACATTCCTTGACCTAACTCCGCTAGCTATCGTTGGTAAAGCACTGACACTTGGTAGGTTTGAAAACGTCACAGTAGTTTGATTGTTATCACTCGTTGGTTCAAATCTCTGCTCCTTCACTTCTCCTAAGGAAGGGCAAGAAGGGACACCCGCGACAAATGGTAATGGTTCCAACTGTGGACCAGAAAAAGCGAAAGATATCTCCTGATTTACTACTCGGGTTACACCCCCGGAAAACAGGGAGGAGTTAAGTTTAGGCCACTCCTTAAGAACTGCACTCACCTCAGTAGGATCAGAAGCCCAGTCCTCCTCGATCACCAAGTCGTTCTCGTAGAGGTGCTGGCCAGAATGTGTGTCCTGCAGAGCAGGTGGGATGGTGCTTTGAACCTTGCCACACCCCTGGACAGCTGCTGATGTTATTATAGGAGGTGGTGGGACTTTGGTGTTGTTTACAGGCTTGGTAACTTTAGGAGAAGTTTGAGGCTGTGTGGTTGTTGGTCCGGCTGGTATTTGACCTCGACACCCTTGACAGATGTTGGGTGGGTTGAATGTTCCAGGACACGTCTGAGTGGTAATTTGTTGTGGTGGAGGCTGCTGACCTCCACCGTAGAAATAGTTGTAGGTTATTGGACCAGCTGAGGGTTGGATAGATTTATCCATATTGTCCCCCGGTGTATTCTGGGCAGCTTGGTTACTGTTGCCAGGGACAACTTTTCTGCCTGGTTGATTTCTAACTTGTTCGAGTGGTGAGTTTTCTCGTTCAGGAGCACCACGAATCTGGAACTGTGACTCGTACCACGGAGACGGATAGTTATTCTGTTTTGGTATATTTACCTGGTTCTGCCAGTTTCTGATATAATTTCATAGTTTCATATATAATTACATCTAGTACAGGGAGTACTTAGTGACCGGGACAATGTACTTGTAGCATAAGGAGTAATTTAACACGCTCACACAGGCTGACTTTCAACTTCACCGCCACCTGCTTGAGTGATGGTAGAAGTAAATTTCAGCTGCAGAATTATCAGTGTCACGCCTACTTAATGTTCAAACTAGCTCTTTCCTAGTTTCCACCGGAAGCGCCATATAGAGAATTTCCTTGGATAGCTGTCACGTGACAGTCACGAGATATCGATTGAGCGCGTTTACTGGTTGGATATATAGCGCGTGACATTGAGCTATCATGCAGACCCGATTACGCACCATATAAGGCGTAATATAAGAGCTGCATCTAGCACGTGATATTTGCAAAGCTAATTACACATCCATATAAGGCGTAATTAAGAGCTCTCGGAGTTGCAGGGAGTTGTAATAGCGTGAAATTGGCTGGTTGATTAGGTGTAACAGTACATACAAGTAAATTTTTCGTGAACTATGTTGGTATAAAGCTAACTCTGGTTTAAGAACAGTGTGTGAGGACGCGTACAGATGGAAAGTGCACTGATTTGTTGTTCAAATGGTTAGAACAAAGATTTGTCCGAACCGGCTGAAATCGTTGTTACGTTGAAAACTGTCTCGATTACCTTGTTACCTAGCTAGTAACTTGGTATGAAGAGAGAGTGGAAACCAGACGAAAGTAAGACGAAGTCTCGGGGATCGGGGATGCAGCCTACAATGGGCATGAATATATAGAGGGCCCTAGGTTGCTCCCCAGATCGGCAGTCCAATAACACATTTTCTGAAAATTCCTAATTTTCAAACTTTTCATCAGTTCCCTGGGGAATGATAAAAAGATGCGAGCGTGCTGAATCACTCTACAGAGCATTTAAAGCAAAATTCTTTAAATGCTCATTTTTGTATAATTTTTTATTTTTTATTACACATGATACTATTATGTATTCACCTTTTACATTTTAAAGTCGGAATGTTATTTATTTATCAGCGGTTAGAAAGCTTTACAATAAATAGTAAATGCTATAATCATTATTCAGTACCTCAATGTGGTATCATACCAACCTCAGTTAAACTGAAAAATATCAAATATTTTCTTGCTCAGTACAAATTTTGTCGTTCGCACCTAAAAATAAATTGTTCTTCTCTCGTTCGTCCTCTAGAAAGAAGTCCACTTCAAATTCACAGTCCTGAGGAACTTCAGAGGCGGAGAGAGACTCCTCCCTGTCACCGCCTCCCGCCCAATCTAGCTGTTGCACTGGCATCACTGAGAAGAGAGAAACTTTACTTATATGCTAGAGTGGTCTCAAGGTACTGTAAGAATCTCACATTGAAACAGAAAAGTGCAAGATATTATCTGTTAGAGGTTAACTATGGACAATTTGAATTGTAGTGCATTTTAAAGATTTGTCCTACATTTCTACCTATTAGGTAGAATGTAGGAGTGACGACCCACATACAGCTATGGCTGGAGAGTCTACGCCCAAAATCAAGATGGGATCAACACTGTGTGCTGTGCTATTTGTTTTCGCTGTTTGTTCGTGGAATGTTAGGGGCTTGGGTAGTCCAGATACTGCGGTTAATGATAAAACTCGGTCTG